ACTTCCTCATCCTTGTCACTCTTACCGTGCTTAGCTGTCTTCCTGTTGAATGTCACCCTTAATGACAAGGGCCGGGTGGGGCAGGCAGCCTTCGGATTCCGTGCCACGTCACCACAAAGTTCACCCGTGAGCACCTGGCCCCACCCCCGTTTTACTCTTGGGGACACTCCAGGAAGCCCTCAACCCCCAAGAAATAGAGCTAGACTGGGCCTGGGCCGGGCTGTCCGCCTCCCAGGTCCGCAGCCCTCCCTGCCCCTCCGCCTCCTGAGCTCTCGTGCTGAAGCCAGAGACCCTGTTTCCACCCGCACACCTGCCTATACCCGGCACAGGTGGTCCCTGCGGAGGCGTGCTCTCAGCGACTGGACATGGCGTGTGGGGGCCGGCAGGCATCATGGGCACCTTGCACACACCACTGCCTTATAGCAAGAGACTGGGGTGCAGGATTCACCCAAGGCCTTTAAAAATAAACAGTAACAGTAACACCAACAACAAACGTTCAGTGGTCTCCACAGGAAGGTGGCATTTCCTCCCTCCCACAGTGCCACCTGTCGGGGGAACACCCCAGAAGCCAGGGCATGACCTTGGTGAGGTGCCCGGGTCAGGCCTCCACCACACTGCCCTCTTGGTCCCTCGCTTTCCTGGGGAATTGTGAGCAGTCAGAGTCCTGGAAGATTTGGGCTTGGAAGGGTCTCTGGGGTGGGGACTGCACGTGCTCCTGGGGACGGCAGGGAACTGGCCCACGCTGAGGCACTCTGATCCTCTACAGGGTCGCTGGACACCTATCAAGCCCCAGCCCAGGCCCTGAACGAGACCGGACAGGCCCTGGAGCGCCTGCGACTGCGGCTGGGCCCGCCCGGGTCCCTGCAGGGGAAGCTGAGGCTGTTGGAGCAGGAGTCCGAGCAGCAGGAGCTGCAGATCCAGAGCTTGGAGAGCGACCTCGCCGAGGTCCGCGCTGACAAGCAGAACTTGGAGGCCATTGTGCAGAGTCTGCCCGAGAGCTGCGCCAGCTGGCAGTGAGCACCCCCAGCCCTCGGGCCGGCGCCTGAGTGGACACACGCTCTCCCATGACCACACCCATGCCCCCATCCAGCAGGAGTGCGTGTGCATTCACACTTCCCCCAGGCACGTGCACTCAGGGTTCACCACTGTGTACACTCCCTGCAGGCACACACAAACACGCACACGGACGCGGTGCACGGACGCGCTGTGGACACATGCCTGTGGGTGTGGGGCGCACGTCTGCACGGACCCTCTGGGCACACACACCCATTGCAGTCCACGCAGGGCTGCTTCCTGAGCGCCAGCGGGTGCCGCACGCCCTCTGGGTGCTGGGGGTTAAGTCAGACACGCTGTGGCATTGACACGAGCCCTGTCACTCCTGCAAGCGTGGACCCAGGCGGGGTTGGTGCCTGGGAGGCTTCGGGGGCATCTGCAGAGATCCAGGGAGGGTTCCAGAGCTGCCGTCTGTCCCCCGCACCCTCCCCCCATCACCCCTGCACACACAAACCCCCAGCAGTTCTGCACAAGTGAGGGGCAGGCGGGCCAACAAATGTGAGATCCTAGTGGCTTCTCAGCAGTGGGACTGAGGCCCAGGACTCCAGGGACACAGTGCGACCTGCTGGGCCTGCGGGGGGGGGGTGGCCCTCCCCTGCGGGGGGACCACTGGCATCATGGAACACTTCCTCCTCAGGGTCCTGCTGCCCCTCCCTTTGAGCCTGTGGCCTGTCCAAGGCACTGGGCCTCAAGGGCCCGAGGGTGCCTGGGTCGGGGGACACAGGTAGCAGGGAGATGCCCTATGTGATCCCACTGACCCCGGATGGCCTCTGACTGGTTGACACTTCCCAAGCTGGCCCTGGGGCACTGAGGCCCCACCTGCTGTGAGGGAGGCCTCTGCTGGGGTGGAGGCCCGGCTGCCTTTCCAGTCTGTCCTGCCGGGGAATCCCCCTGTGGCCGGCCCCCCCCCCCCCGCACCCAGGATTCCCTGGCATTTCCTCCTGGCACCCCTCCCCTTTCCACCAGCCCTCTTCCAACAGTTGGCAGGACCTTGGCACCAAGAGAGTGGGGGCCACAGGGGGCACAGGCCCCTCCCACAGCTCAGGCCTGCCCCCAACCAGGGGACAGGCAGCAGCAGTCAAGTTCTGTTTCATGTGGAAATAAAGGCCCTCTTTACTAGCTGGGTGGCGTGCCTTTGGTCCTCCCTTGCTGGTTGGCAGCAGGGGCCCTGGCTGCGGGTGCGCACACACGGCACACCCGAGTGCGGGACACACCCAGTGCCCAGGGAGTGGGAGGGAGGCTCGCACTGACCCATCTCAGCCCACACACAGGAGTAGGAATGTGGCAAAAGCTGAGCCCGCTGGCTTGGCCGGGTCTGCCCACTGGGGGGATTTTGCTGGGGTCCTGCTGCCACAGGCACCTGCCCCCTCCCCTCTGCTCCAGGGGCTTATCAGGCAAAGTCAAGGGGCGGGGGGGGGGGGCAGGGAGTTTGAGGGGCGGGGTACAGACAGGCCCTCAGCTGACCTCTGGCTCAGTCTGAAGACACTGAGGCAGGAAATGAACTCAAAACCAAGTGTCCAGCAGCCCAGAAAGGCTCAGGGAGGGACACTATTTCAGGGGGGCTTGAGTGGGGGGACAGGGGGGAACTTTCCAGACAGGGAGAGGCAACAGCCTGGGGTCTGCCAGGAAGGGCTTGGCCAGCACAGGTCTCTCCAGGAACACAGGTCGCAGGGGTAGGACCACGCAGCTCTCAGGCCCTTGACCAATTAGGCCTGAACAGAGTTTGTTCGAGGGAGTTCAAGTTCAGAGGACATGGGAGGGTTTCCTGGAATCCTGGGGTGGGAAGGGCTGCCAAGCCTCTGAGACAGTCTGGGGCTGGAGTGGCCTCCCAGGCCGCTGGGGTGGGGTGGGGGGCTGCTGTCCCCTCCCCTCGTCTCTGCCTCTGGTCTCGCCCTGTGTGCTGCGCTCTGTTCTCCGGGCACAGCAGCTTCCTTTGCTTTTCCTGCACTTGGTGGAAGAAGATGCTCCCTCTGCCCCCTTCACCATGGCACCCAGGGTTCCAAGTCATCATGTCAAATCCATGGCAGAAACCACTGGAAACTTCCCAGATTCCGCCTTCCCAGGGAAGGCCAGCCCAGCTCGGACCAGGTCCCCGCCCCCCACTCCCGTTCAGAACAACAAGGGTCTCTCTGTCCAAGGCCCCTGAGCTAGAGCTGGGCGGTGCCCCCTCCAAACCTGCTGGGGAAGTGCGTCCAGAGGAGAGGTGTCCCAGCACCAACGGAGCCGGGGGCAGGGGGGCCGGGGGCCTGCAGGGGACTTGGTGGGTCTGGGAGGGAGGGCGTGGGGCAGGGAGGTTGAAACAGGAGGCTGTTGCTTCACAGCTTGATGATCCCTGTCGTTATGTGGTGTCAAGGAGATGGGGGTTCTTTGAAGACCTCTGTGACAGAGCCTGATGCCCCTCGGGCTCCTCCCCGCCCCCACCGGCTTCTCTGCTGAAAGAAGTGCCAGCCTTCTAGTGCCTGCTCTTGGCATTCGACCAAGATCGCCAAGTCCAGTCCCAGCAGCCCGGACGGGTGGAGAACCGGCCTCATCTCCATTCCTCAGCGACGTACCTCAGGCCTGAGGTCTTGTGACTCATGCCTGCCGCCACACAGCCCTGGAGGCAGGGCTAGGCTGGGTGGAATGTGGCAGCTGTTGAACATCTGGCGAGTGATGCGGCCCAGGAGCTGAGCAGTGGAAGGTGGGGTGGTCCCTGCCCTGCAGAAAGGCTGGCCGGGGCGACGGGCCGCCCGAGCCTGGCCCCGGGAGTGAGTGGCCAGGGCTGTGCTCTGAGCGAGCTCTCCTCTCCCGCCTGCAGGTAGAAGGTCTTCCGTCACCACGGCTGTGAGTCCTAAGCCCGTTTTCCTTCCAGGCTTTTACTTCCTGCTTGACAGCCTGAAAGGAATGAGTTGTGACAGCCCCCACTTGGTGAGAGGTGCTGTTTCCTCCATCTGCAGATCAGGAAACTGAGGCTCCAACAGGTCAAGTGCCTTGCCCAAGGTCACACAGCCTGTCCAGATCCAAAACCTTGGGGCGAATGGAGAAGGAGAATTCCTGGATCGGATCCTGTGTGTATGTGTGTGTGTGTGGGGGGGGGGGTCACTGGTGACCGGTGTTCTGTTTGCCCAAAGCAGTCCCTGCCTGTGCCTGTGACCTCAGCATAAGTGTTAGGAGTGCCACCTTTCGGTCTCAGAAACAACCTGAATCGGACAGGAAACTCCCCGCCCCCCTCACCCTGTTCCGAGTCCTGGGCTCCTGCACCCTGAGGGCCACTCTCCCTGGAGTTGGAGGCTCCGTGTGTCATCCAGGTGGACTTGAACTCCAGGCTTCCACGGCCTGACTTTTCTCATCTGTAAAGTGGAAGTGCCCAGGCCTGTTTCGGAGAGTTTTGAGAATAAATGACTTTACAAATGTATCCCCTACTGACCTGGCAAAGTGCCCAATGCACAGTGAGCGCTCAAGAAACAGGTTTTATTAACAAAACACTAACTCATTCTAACTGATTCAGTGTTGCTGACGTCCCAGTGGCACTTTCTCATTATGCACTCACCACCCCTCCTAACAAAACTAAATGGTTTGTTGGGGTTTTTTTTTTCAAGTGTTAAAAATGAGGGCTGGGGACGCACATCTCCCTTTTAAAAGTGCGTTCTGCGCATTGGGCAACAGTAACTTAACGGCCTTAGTTGGTGGCAGCTGCCGCTGCCACCTGCGTTTGCTTCTTGCAGGCAGGCACCCCGACAGTGAGAACTAAGACCGTCCCCGTTCTGTTTACGGGGAAGCTGTGGCCAGAGCGGGAAAGGGGCTTGTGGAGGTCCCAGGAGCGGAGAGAAGGCGGTCCCCGCGCTGTGCATTTTCCGTGTCCTCCAGCAGAGGGGCGCGCAGCGGGCTCTGTGTCCCGCATAATAGCCGCTTTGAGGCCGGCGGCCGGGTGGCGGGAGGGAAGGGAGGCGGGCCGCAGGGGAGGGAGGGGTGTGTCCGGCCGCCCGCGCCTTCCCTCCGCCCCTCGGTCTAGCCGCCACACGCCGCGGGAGCTCGGACCGGGCGCCCGTCCCTCCCTCTCGTTCCTTTTCGCGGCCGCGCAGCCCGGAGCCAGCGGGAGCCCCGTGCTCACCATGTCGGTCGCGCTCAGCAACAGGTTTCAAGGTAAGGGCCGCTGTCCTACAACCCTGCCCCGCCCCCGGCACGCTTTCCCGCGTGCCCGGGCCCGCACGCGTTGTGCCCCCGTCTGCCACCTGCGTGCCCCAGGGAGACAGCGGGGTCGGCAGCGCGCGCAGGAAGTGAGAGTGGACCCGGGGGGGCGCGCAGCCCGGGAAGATTCCCCCACTTCCCGGGCCGTCTCTTTGTCTCCTCTAGGAGGGAAGGCGTTCGGCTTGCTCAAAGCCCGGCAGGAGAGGAGGCTGGCGGAGATCAACCGGGTAAGCGCCAGTCTCCACCTTCGCTTTTGAAGCCCCGCTGCGAGGGCTGCTTGCAAGTTGCAGGAGCCGCGCGGCGCTGGCTTGTCCCCAAAGCTCCCAACTCCCCCGGGTCCCACCTTTTCTTCCCCTGGGCTACCCCCAGTTTTCTCCCTCCGCCCCTTCTCCTGTGCCTCCGACTCCAGGTAGGTCCCCCTCCACCCCCTCCACTCCGCTCTGGTCCGGCGTCTCGGGTTGCAAGTTGTTACTCCTAGACCGGGGAGGTAGGGCCCGGCCGGGAGCTCCCATACCAGTCGGTTGGGGCTCCCCGGAAGCCCGCCACAGGGATTTGGCTTCGGGGATTTGGCACTGGAAGGGACCCCCGATGTCTCCCAGTAGTCCCGTTTTACAGCGGACAGGCGAAGAGAGGCCCAGAGCAGCTAGGTGGCTGGCTGCCCAGCAAGTGTGGGTCAGGCTGCTGTTAGCACCCTGGGCTCCAGATGCGCAAGCCAGTGCCCTCTCCAACGCAGGACATTCAGGCTTCCGGCCAGCCCCCACTCCCACCCTCACAGCTCTTTTCCCCTCCAGCTTTTAGGAAAGGCTGCCTTAGAGTCTTGAGGCTTCTCTTGACCATCCTGGTGGGTTTCTATACAGAAAGCCGGCTGGCTGTTGCCAGGTGTGCAGTGGGAGCCCCACAAACGTCTGTGTAAGGAGCATGCAGACTTTGGCCAGAGCTTAAAGGCAGCATAGCCAGGGGCTTTTAGGTTCTGCGTGAAGGGGGCTCAGATCTGGCCTCCGACCCATACCAGCTATGTGGGCTTCACCAAGGCCCTCACCACACAGGACCAGGGCCGTCCCGAGGGCTCAGCCACAGAAGGCATGCAGCATGCTTTGCCCAGCACCCTGCACGAGGGAAGACCTCATAGATGGTACTAGAATTCGTCCCCCAGCTTCTTCCCTAACTGGCAGTGGAGGCCTGCCCGCCGAAACAGGGCTGGGCATCTCCCACTGGCTTCCTCAGGCCGCTGAGCACCCAGGGTCTGAGCCAGATCTGAGCCCCAAAGTGGGAAGCTGGTGGGGTCAGCAGGGCCCAGGTGGAGGTGGTGGTTGGGGGTGGGGGGTGGGCCAGCACCATGGCAGGATTTCAGGCTTTCAGTGGGGGGCTTGCAATGTTGAGTCTCTCTTTGGTTTTTTGGACTGTATGGAGCTAGACAGTCTGTCTGATTCCATTCCACGGGCTGTTGGGATCTCGGGGAGGACCCTGGGATCCCCAGGGTCCCTCAGTGCCATCCTCACCCTGCCTGTTGGTGTCATCTTGAGCACAGCCGGAAGGGAGCCTGGATGTCTGGCTGGGGTCTCAGGGGTCCAGGCTGCTGGGCTCCCTCCCAGTTCACTCTGCAGCCCGAAGGTCTTGGCTGCACTTGCCCTCTGGACAGGAGCCTGGAACCCTGACCTCATACAGCCCCCTGGGCCGCTAGGCCGGGCGGGCTCCAAGCTGGCTGAATCCACCCATGGCCAGCAGGACCCTGAGCCAGAGACAGCTGGGGATGGGGGAGAGGTGACTGTCGCTGGACAAGCCAGAGGAGCTGAGTGTGTGGGACTTTCCATGCCAGCCCCGCCCTCGGAGGGGGTGCAGACTGTGGGGAGGCCACAGGGTTGTTTTGGGAGGGGGACAGACTTGGCTGGGAAAGGGGGCTGCCCGTGCCTCTCAGGAGCTGGCCTGGACAGCGCTGGGCTTGGAGAGCAGGGGGAAGAGGGGCTGTGTTCAACCACCTTGGGACCCCCGCGCCCAAAGAGGCCAAGCATCTGGCCAAAGCCACGCAGAAGCCAATGGCAGAGCCTGTGGTCTAGTGTCCTTCCCATGCCCAGGGGCTACTCCAAGACCACCACGGGAGCCAGGCCTCAAGGTCATAGGCTCGAGGCCCCTGGAGGAAGGAGGCTCCAGGGTCAAACTGGAAACCTGAGCACCTCCCACCGCAGCAGGTTGAGGTGGTCCCATCAGGGCGTAGAGCCACAAAGGGCAGGGAGAGGAGGGCAGAGTGTTGTGGCTCTGTGACCTTGGGCAAGGCACCGACATAATGGTAGTCAGGCTATTGTGACTTGGCAGTGATAGGATCTATGGAAAGTGCATAAGGAGCGCTGGCTGCTGTCACGATCATTATCGCTGGTTTGTTTAGGGCTTAAAGGCGCAGGAGATGGAAACCCAGGGCAGAGATTTGCCATGGCCCCTGCTGGCCACCGGGCCTGGGTGGCAACCGCTTCATCTGGGGGAGCCTTCGTTCCCCTGCCGGGAGTGGGAGTGTGGGCCCTGCGCTGCTCCAAGTCCCCGCAGCGGTCAGTGGAGAGGGGCAGATGAAGCTCTTCACGGACTCAGGGAGTTGCTCCGACAGAGAGTCTGGGTCCACCCCACCCACAGCTGTGGCTGAAGTGGAGGTTCTAGAGGGAAATTCTTGAGGGATCCACGTTAGCAGCCCGGACTGGCTTTCCTCTGGGGCTCAGTGTCACTGCAGTGGGGCTTCTGGGGGGCTGGACGGAGTGGCTGCCCGGTGACCTTGTGGGGGCTGCTTGGGTGCCTCTGGGTCTGCTGCCCCAAGGCAGAGCCCAGCTCTGGAGGCTTCTAGGGCCGACACCCCAATCCTTTTGGGGCTTTTCTCCCATCTCCCCCCAGGGTGGGCCAGCTTCCAGAAGGCAGCAGGGAAGCTAAGTCTTAGCTATTGTTATTACGAGGGATTGAGGAGTAAAAACAGAGACTTGGGTGGACTCAGAGCTGTGTGGAAATGCACTTTTTTGGTTTCACTCGAGCTTTGGCTATTATTTTCTGAGCACTTGGCGCGTGCCAGGTAGTGTGCCAGGCATGCTTCAGGCATTATCTCGCTGAGTGCTTACTCTAAGCCTGTGAGTGTGGATTTTCCCGTGTCACAGAAAACAGGGCTCAGAGAGGCTGAGCCAGCTGCCTGGGTTTGAACAGCCCGGCGTGGACCCAGCCTCTCCTCTCAGTCTCTGAACTTGACAGGGCCCGCTCTGTGGATGCCCGCCCACCTCCATGCCAGTGCGCGTGCGCGTGCATGTGCGTGCGCACCCTCGGCGCCACTGGAGCGGGCAGGGCAGGCGCGCACCTCCTACTCCCCCCACATAGCTGACATTCTCCGAGCCCTGATGGCGTGGCAGGTGACCCTGGGCCAGCAGACCCAGCCTTATATGGCAACAGAAAACATTCTCCCCGGCTTCCCACAGGAATGGAGAGCCGCGGTGGGGCTGGGTGGGTGCCTCTCAGGGCGCCTTTACCCGTGGTCCTCAGGGGGAGCCCGGAGGGCAGGGAGTGGAGCCAACCAGAGGCCAGCATCTTTAACAAAACCCCGCGAGGCCTGCCTGGCGCCTGACTTGCGTCATCTCCTGTCAAAGGGACGTCCGATTGGAAAGGCGTGCCCCAAGAATGTACAAACGTCACCACGGGATGAGGATGACGAGACCTCCCATTCTAGAGATGAGGAAACAGAGGCTCAGTCGGGGAAGTCACCTGCCCAAGGACACCCAGCCAGGAAGTGGCAGGTCCAGGAGCCTGACTGCAGACACCGCCTGTGGCCTGCCTGGGCCCTGTCCACCAGGTGGCCTCGGCCTAGCTGTGACACAGGCCTCTCTTGCTTATGTAGATAAAGATCTTTGGCTGCGGTCCCACCCTCCTGGCCCTCCTGGGTCGAATGAAGGGCACTCAGCGTTCCCGGTTGCATTCAGGTGTCCTGTGGTTATTTCAGAGCCCACGTGGCTTCTGTGCTGGGAAGAGCTGGGCGAGGCAGGCTGTGTGTCTCTGCCCAGAGGGGTGTGTGTTCCTGGCCCCTCCCCGGGCCCTGGGGGACCTCTGAGACCTGACCCAGGCACTACGCAGGCGTGTCTTTTTTCCTGTGTACTGGCAGCGCCACTGTGTCCCTGCCCAGGTGAGTGTGCCCAGCTGGCATCGCTGGGCACTCGTCTCTCTTGCTCTTCCTTAATATATTATAAGGGAGATGGTGATAAGTAGCCACGTGAGCCTCCGAGGATTCAGTGTCCCCGCGGTCCAGCCAGTCACGACCTCATTGTGGCCATGTCACAGGAAGCCAGAGATGGAATTTCTTCAGGGTCTGCTTCACTTGTGTAGTTGATGGGGTGTTTTTTCCTCAGCTGCCCCATCTGCTGGCGAGGACACAGTGTCCGGATGTAGCCACAGAGCCGCTGAGGGGAATGTGAGCCTCCTGTCCTTGCGGGTGCACGTTACAGGCTCCGTCTATGTGCCAGGCACCAGGCCGGCCACTTGTGGCCGGGTCCTGGCCCTTTAAGAACCTGTCGGCTGCGTCAGAGGCTCCAAGGGCCTGGTATGGTGGCGTCTGGCCTTGGGGTTTGCACCAGGGTTTTGGCCGCCAGCACCTTGGATGGCCTCCAAGATGGTGATATCTGCCCGCCCCAAAATTCTGCTGCAGCTAATACATAAAGACGAACCTGGAGGGCCAGGAGCAGGCGTCCGGGAGCAGGTGCTAGAGGTACCGGCCCAGGAAGAGAGTTAAATCTGGGGTGGAGACGGCAGGAGCAGGGGACCAGGCAGGTGGCACAGAAGGGGCTGCCAACCACTGCTGGGTTTGGCTATACCCACTCCGGGGCCTACGCACCTGGACAGGACTCCTGGGGGCAGAGAAAGAGTCAGACGTGCATCCAGGTTGTGGAAGAGCAGGGGGGCGGCGGTGCACAGGCATGGCGGCAGGCGCTGTCCCCCAGGACTGAGATGGGAGCACTCTGTCCTTCGAGGATGGCCTTCCACTGCTAGGTCAGCCAGGTGTCCAGGGGCAAAGCAGAGCTTGCCCTTAAAGAGGGATGACCCGAGGGTCAAGGCTCACACGGAGGGCTTTGTGGGACAGTGTGGGACAGAGTTGCGGCTGGGTCGCTCCTCTGCCCTTCCCCTGCTCGCAGCTGTCTGTTCGCGTGGCCAGGGTTTGGGCGATCCAAATGTACAAGGCTAATTGCTGACACTTAGTCAGTGTCTATGCAGTTAGCTCACTTAATCCAACCCAATGAGGAGATGCTACTGTGATGATCCCATTTCACAGATGAGGAAACAGAGGCCCAGAGGGGTGAGACAAGTTGCCCAGGGCCACAGAGCAGGTAGTCAGTGCTGGATCTGGGATTGGAGCCCAGGGAGCCTGATTCAACACCCCTCCCCTGCCCTTCTGCCCCACACACCCTGCTCTCAGGAAGGTAAGGTGCGGCTTCCCACCTTTGCGGCTTTAGGCGAGTCCTTTCCATTTGGAGGCCTCAGTTTCCCCAGCTAGTGAATGAAGAGGACAAGCTGGGCACTCTGAGGAGTCCCTTTCACGTTCTGTGCCTGGGGAGATGTTTTAACAGCTCTGTCACCGTCCCCAGCCTTGCCTGGGGATGCTTACAACTTCCTGCTTTCGACCTCCAGCTCCTGCCTGCTTGCATTTCCTGGGTCTTTGCCTGGGACTGACCAGGCTCCCAAGGCCTCTGAACTTGCTGCTCTGCATACCCATAATCGCTCTCATACCTGGAGGCCCTGACCTCAGGACAGAGGGCCGTAGGCGAAGAACGGGTTGGGACCAGTGAACCATCCACAACCCCCGCCCTCCCCCCCTCCCCCCACAGTAGGTTACAGAGTGGGTCCCTGGCCTCAGGAGCCACCTCCTCCTGTAACTGCCCCAGGGGAAAGGCCACTCCCAGTGTTTCTTTGCTCAGAAACCTGTGGTCAGGCCACTGGCTCCTTGTTCAGGGCAGGGAGGCAGCTGGGATGGTGGAGGGAGCTCGGCCTTGAGTTGCAAAAACTCTGCAATCTTGAGCAGCTGAGTGACCTCTTGGGGTCTGGGCCATCCAGTTGGTCTAGCGGGGGTGTGCAGAGAGGGGAACTCAGAACCAGCCTCTGTCAGGGAAGAGGTTTGGGGAAGGAGGTTTGCTTCTGATTTGCTCACCAGTCTGTGGGGGTCTGGGTGAGGACAAGCCATGGGGGTTTTCCGTGGGTTGTACAGACAGAAATGTTAGAAGACAGCAACACCCAGCCAGCGTTGATGATTTAGCATTTACCAGGTGCAAGGCTCACAGACCCAGGTATTGCTTTCACACAGCCACCGAGCGGTTCCAGCTGGGCCCTCGGCTCTAGCTCGCCACCCTCTTTTGGTTTTTGCTTTTGCTTTTCTTCCAAAGGGGACTGGCTTCTATCCCTGTCCCTTCTGCCTGGGGACCCAGGGTCAGGGCAGCCAGGGGTCCTGGCGTCTGGACAAATAGGGTACCCACTAGGCATGCCCACTGGGCATGGCTGGGCCCTGAGACTGGGCAAGGAGATAGGGTCAAGCGCCTGAAGGGGAGGAAGCCGTGGGCTGTGCATAAGCAGGAACCAAGAATCTGAAGCTGTGAGCTGGCGGCCCGGCCAATGGAGCTCCTGTTCCCACTGCCCGCCTGCCTCCCCGTGCCCCCGCCGAACGCACAGTCCACACAGCTGCCCTGAACCCAGAGTCAGCGAGGGCCACCTACCCACACATGAATGGGTCAGCTGCTTGTCCCACCCTGGTCACTCTGTGGCAAACATTTGTCATTTTTGGCTCCTAAGAAAAAAATGCAATTTTAATCTCTAAGTCCCCTCCCCCTACCCCCCAGTCTCTGTCACACACGTGCACACGCTTTTGCAAAGCTGCCTCAGCGGTCAGGGGTGAGAGGGGAGAAAGTCATTCTGGCTGCACGACAGGCGTCTCCTCTCCTCCGACAAATGTTTGCTGAGCACCGAGGGCATGCTGAGCGCGCTCCGTGCTCCCGGACTCGTGGCCAGGGGCCTGCCTCCTCCCATTGCCCTTCTAACACCCACTTCCGTGGGTCACTTTCCCTTCTCAGCTCTGTGCAGGGAGGGAAACAAGTGGCCTCCTCTGTGCAGTTTAGCCCCAGCTTGGCCACTTGCCAGCTGTGCTGCTGTGATCACATTATATTCATCCTCTCTGAGTTCCGACTTGGCCACTCATCCTGCAGCCATTTATTCAGCACCTACTATGTGCAACCTACATTCTCACAGAGGGAGACAGATGACGGACAATACCCTTCCTAAGCAGTTAAGTTGTGTTAGGGGGTAACTCATCCCATGGCATAAAACAGGAAGGTAAGGGTGGGATGGAAGTGGAGGCAGGGACCACGGTGGGCAGGGTGGATAGTTGAGCAAGGGCCTGAAGGGGGCGAGATGGAGAGCCGTACAGATGTGCAGGAAGGAGCAGTCCAGGCAGGGCCTCCCCCCAGAGCCAAGCCTGGGCCCCGTCGGGACCAGCGAGGGGAGTCGGTCCTCAGCACTCCACAGTGCCCGCTGCGCTCTGGTCCTCACTCTCAGTTGCTGCCTGGTTGTTCCGTGTCCAGCTCCGTGTGGTTCGTTTGTCTCTGACACCAAGGCCCGTGTCCTACCCCTGGAACCCAGTCCCAGGGTGGGACTGGTCAGTACATGGTACTCACAGGCTCGGGCTGGTGTGGGATTTCTGGTCGACCAGATTGTGGGCACTGGGAGGCCCCCAGCCCTCTGCCCGGAGAGCCCCAGATGGGGGGCCTTGCCTGTGGCTCCCCACGAAGGTTTCCCAGTTCCTAATGTGGGAAAGTGGAGGGAACATAGGGGCCGTGTAGTGAGAGTTGAGAGTTGGCTAGATGGTTTCCACTTAAAGATTCTGAGATTCTGAACTTCCTACTTTAATGAAACGTCCTTTTCTGAACCCAACAGCAGCAGTCTGTGGCCACGGTGTAGTCTTTACTTGGCAAAACACACATTTGGCAGCCTCGCTTAGCACCTCCGCCTACTTTTAACTTTTTTGGAAATGTTTCTTTCTACATTACCCCAAAGTCTGGGAACTGCTGGCCTATTTGTCCTTCTGCTGGGCGGGTTTGGGATCTGTGACCCTGGGAGGTGCCCGGTTTGCTCAGGGGCACAGACAAGAGTTAATTGTCCTCCTTCTGGTCAGCAGTAGAAAAGAGCTATAAGAGGGAGCCAGGAAGAAGGCGAGGCCTGGCCAGAGCCAGCCAGGAGAAGGGCCGCTCCCCAGGCAGCTGGAGAAGGTTCAGCCCCTGCTGAGTGGAGGTAGGGCCGTGCTTGGCGCATGGTGATGAGGCCCCGAGTGAGGCTGCAGCCCAGCCAGCTGGACCCCGTGGGCCCTGGGGCTGCCTTCCACCAGGTGGCTGGCAGCACAGGTCCCGGAGTCAGATATGCCCAGATTCCAAACCAACCCCGCGTTTCCTCAGCTGCCGGGACTTAAGAGGTGATATCCAACCACTCTGGTTGGTCCTCCTCCTCCACCTGTAAAATCAGCGTGACCGTGAGGATTTAATGTGACAGCACAGTCCCAAAAGCAAGGGCATGGTCAGAGCCCCTCGACGGTTGCATTGGCAGGCGATTTCTCCTTCTCTGTCCAAGGGGGCTGCGTTACCATGGAGACACTGGAACCCTGGAAGGGGTCACGCTGTGCCACACGCTAAGTCACACTGTTGCTTATGGAGCATTGACAGAGGAGCTTGGTCGTCCCCATTGAGGGACAGGTGCCCAGGGAGGTGGGTACGCAATGCCCCCTTCATAGTTAGTAAGGAGGGGACTGAAATCCAAACCTGGAGGGCTTTATCTTCACTCAGGGTTCTTGTCCTTCTCTTGCTCTGCTCTTAAGCCTCTTGGGGGTTTGCAGGAGGGTTGAAAGGTAGTGGGTTTCCTGTCCTAGGAGAGATGAGAGTGGGGACCCACTTGTCCGGCAGTGGGAAGGAGCAGCAGGAAGTCAGGAACAGATTGAGTGACTGACCTAGATGCCAATTAACATCACTTCAAACACTCCCTGTAATTGCAGGGTAAAAGCTTATTTGCCTTGGTCTCACGTGCTCTCTGGCTGCCTAGAGCACAGCAGTGGGCACTGTGGTCCCCCCAAAACTGTTGAATGAATGAGGGCATGAGAAGCGATGACCACATGTAATGGGCTCAGTAATGGAGAGTGTGTGGTCCAGGGAAGAGAGTGTTCGAGGGGTCCGGGGCTAGGACGGGTGGGCATACACCCTCTGCTTCCCTGTCGGCGCACAGGTTCTAGGGGGGCTCGAGGATGAGCAAAGAGGCAAGTAAGATCCCTGGCCCTGTGCTGGCCTGGCAAGTGCTTATGAATGGGTAGCTTTTGGTTTTAAAGCCAGATGAATGCCTGCGATCTGCCCATCTTTAAAGGTCAAGGTCAAGGATGCAGACTTTGAATGAGATGGCGCTGAATTGATTCAGCTCTGGCTGTGTGAGCCTCAATTTTCTCATGGGTAAAAGGAAACTCTGGTCCACTGGAGGATCCAAAGGGGTCATGTGAGTAAGCGCTTCATTCTGGGGGCCTTTGTTAGTGTCCCCCGGCCCCCACCACTGGGTTCTGAAAGGACTCATCCGAGTCCCTCCCAGCATCTGAGGGAAGGCAGGCCTGTTTTACGGGTGAGGACGCAGGAGAGAAGAGTAAGGGACCTCCCAGACCGTGTACAGTCGTCTTCTGGCTACAGCAGAGACTAATGACATGACAGCCACTGTTAACCGAGCCCCAGCTAGGAGCCAGTGGTCACACATACACACCCTTGGGTTCTCATACACACTCTAGAAGTAGCTGTGGTCATTAAACCATCTGGAGATAAAGCCAGAAAGGAATCAACATGCCAGGGACGCTCACCTAAGACGTTAGTGCTGGAACCAGGCAGTTTGTCACTGGGGCTCATTGCTTCACAGAGCCCAGAGCGGGGCGCCGGGTGGCAGTGTGGGGTTAGTGAGGCCCGGTCCCTGCACAGGCAATTCAGAGTTTGATTGAAGGTGTTGCATCTTCTAGAGAAGACCCTCCATGCCCCACCCCCTGCCCCACCCAGCTGCTGAGCACACTTCCTACCCTCAGTCTGGACTCCGTGGGTCTGTCCTGGTGGGACAGGAGGCCCCGGGGCGATGGGCCTCCACACTGGCAAGTTCTGCCTGCTCACCTTTTGCTCAGCTCTGCCCTCCCGCCTCCGTAGGAGTTTCTCTGTGACCAGAAGTACAGCGATGAGGAGGACCTGCCGGAAAAGCTCTCAGCCTTCAAAGGTGAGCTGGGGCCGTCTGCCCCACCTCCCAGCCCCTCACAGGTGGGATTCCTTACCCCCATCCAGCGAGGCTGCACCCCTGCTCCTTCCAGATGCCATGTTCTTGGTGGGCTGCAAGACAGGGTACCCAGCTGGAGGGGGGCAGGCCCCTCCACCTGCCTCCAAGCCACCACCGGCCCCCTCGGCCCCCTCACTCCTCACTCGCAGGCCTGAGCTCGCCCCTGCCCCTCTCCCCCCCCACCCCAGCTGCCCCGCAGGGCTCAGGTTGGCTCCTGTCGCCACTGCCCAGACCCTGCTCGCTCCCGGAGCCCCAGCTCACAATCAGCTCTTTGTAGCAGCCCTGGCCTCTCCCCCTGCACCGTGGAGCGTCTCGGGAGCCCCTGCGGAGAATGGACGTTTGTGTCCCAGCAGTGGGGCAGGGGGCAGAGTTTCTGCCCATTGAATCCCGGCCGCACGGGATGAAAAGAAAACAGGGCCCAGGAGCCCGCTCACGGGGAGGGGGCGGCATAAAGGTCCCTCTGTTCGGTCCTTGGCACTTGGTTCGCAGCCAGCCGCTGGAGAAAGGAGAGGAGCCGCACATGTAAGGAGCCGTAAGGAGCAGGCGGACACACCTCTGCTGCCGGAGAGATACACTTGGGTTGCAGCCGGACCACGGGAATGTCCCCGAGGCTGCACCCCCACCCCGCCCCAGTGTCTCAGCAGCATGGGCAAGCTCCCGGCTTGGGGAGTCAGAGACCCGGCTCAGGGACCTTCAGACCCTTTACGGCTGGGTTGTCCTTGGGTGGGACATCGGTGGCTAAGCAGTTGTTGATGCTGACCTGTGGGAAGCACGGCGAGTGCTGTGTTGTGATCTCCCTGAATCATCCCAGTGCAGCCAGGAGGGAGGTGACGCCCTCGGTAATTTATAGAAGAAGAAATTCAGGCTCAGAGAGGTGGGGCCACTTGCCTGGGGTCACACAGCTTAGCTAGGGCAGAGTTGGGGCTTGTACCCATACTGGTCTCACTCTGAAACCCCTGCTCTTAACCATCATGCGATGGTGCTTTTAACATTAAAAAAAGAGCACTACTAGAACAAAGACACCCCCCATCCCTGCCTGTCACCACCGCGCACCCCTGCCAGAGCCTCAGAAAGGAGGGGCAGTCCTTCCCTTCTCTCTGCCTACCAATGGGGCCACTCTTCAGAGGAGACTCTGGGGCAGAGGTCTCCGGGGTAGTAGGTGCTGGGCGTGGGTGGGTGGGGTGCCTGATTAGAAAGGCCCAGGGGCCCTCCTGGCATGAGGAGGAGCCCTGAGGCTACCCGGCAGGGACATTGCAGGCAGAGAGGTGGCAAGTCCCCAGCAGGAGCAGGTGAGAAACAGGCCGGACACAGCAAGGCCAGTAGGTGGAGTGCAGGGGTGGAGGGAGAGGCAGCCCAAGAGGCTGGAAGGCAGATGCTCCGGGAGGTCGCAGGGCCTCGAAGGCCACTGGGAGGACCTTGGCTGTCTCATGCCGGCTGCTCCGTGCAGAGTAGACCTGGAGGGCCCTGCTCATCCCTGTGTGGCAGGGCCTACCTGCCCGGAGCCACAGGACTTGTTTACATGCACGGCCCATGACAGAAGATACCAGGGCACTCCCCTGCCATTGTCTCTTGCCATTGGAGCTTCCCTGGGCCCCTTGACTGGGGGGGGGACGCTTCCTTCAGTCCCTAGGTGAGGTTGGTGGGGAGGGCCTGTATACCCTGGGACACTTTGTGTCCCACTTTGTGGTCGAGGGCAGGCCCACGGGCATTTCTGCTGGAAGAGGATCAGACCAAAAGGTTCTGAACCACAGGGACTCCTTCCCGGGGCCCTACCCTGGCTGCTTGTCAGAATCAGCTGAGGCACACCGACCACTTCCTGCTCTCACCGCCCCCCCCCCCCCCCACTGAACCTGTACCTCCAGGGCAGGAATTTATTGTCCCCGCAGCTGATTGGAGATTGGAATGCAGCAGGCTGTCCCTGGCAGGGACCTGGGAGGAAGCAGCTGCCCTCCCTGGTGCAGGGACAGAGTGGCTCCGGAGCACCTTTCCCCGTGGCGCCCCTAGGACAGGAGTGCAGACAACTGTGATGATAGGACTCGTGTGGAGAACTCCATGTGGGGTGGGAGTTCAGTGTGGGATCCCCAGGGACCAGGCCACTTGCCCTCAGGGGAGTCACTGGGGCCCTGCGGGGCCCACCCTGCTTTCCAAGCTAACACCAGTTTTTGCTCTGTGATTTCCAGAGAAGTACATGGAGTTTGACCTGAACAATGAAGGCGAGATTGGTGAGTGACGCCTTGGGCATGTCGTAGGGGACAGGGGTGTTTGGTGGGTGGATGGCGTGAAGGTCCAGAGAGCCCCACGGACTCCCCTGCATGGGCGAGGTGTCATGACTGTGACAGTCACACACTGAAGCCTTCCTGAGGGCTGGGCCAGCTGAACCAGGCTGGAGTCTGTCTGCCTTTACCCTGGATCCATTGTCCCCAAACTTCTCTTCCAACCATTTCCCTCCCCACCCCACACTGCTCGCCGCCCCTGTCTCAGCCACCCACCCCAGGGGACCCAGCACAGAGAGCGCCACCCCTGCCTGGGGCTGGAGATGCTCAGGTGGTTGACACCTGGCCCAGAGGGCTGGCATTTCCTTTGTCCCCGGGCCTCTCCTCACGTCCGTACACTCTCCTGCAGCTGACAAAGGTGTCCTCTTCCAACAGACCTTGTCCTGTCCTGCCAGCCAGATGCTGGGGGAGACAAACGCCTGTCCATGGCACTCACATTCAAGAACATAATCTTGACCTTCACCAGTCCCAGAAGGACATGGTCAAGGCCGGTTTGATTTTCCCCGTTTTGCAGATGAGGAAACCGGGGCTCAGTGCTGCTGTGTTTCTGCTCCTCCTCTGTCTTCCCTCGTTCCTCTTTTTGAATATTTTTTATTCTTTTTTTTTTCTTTAGAAAGAGATTTATTAAGTGAATACATTTTCATCATAAAAATTTTTGGAAAGCACAGCAAAGCACAGACAAAGATACGTCACCTGCTGCTGTGAACAGTTTGGTTTATACTCTTCCACACTTTGTTCCCATCACAAATGCTATTTTGCACCATTTTTAGAACCTCCATCTTTTTTCAACAAATAACACATTGTGAGTATTCTGACATATGATTAACTTTTCTTTTGAAATATAATCAGTGGCCCCGGAACAGTCCATCGAGGGGATGGACTGCGATTTATTCGGCCAGTGCCGTAGGGTCACTGATAATGCTCTGAAGAACTTCTCTGTACACAAGTCTTTGTCCACATCCCTAATTATTTCTTAAGAGTAAATCTCAGGAATGAGACATTCTGGGTCAAAGGCTTTCGAAGCATCCTGCCAAATGGCCTTGCAGTGAGGTCTGGCCAATTCAGCGTCTGGCCAGCAGCTGTGGGAGACCTTTCGCTCCTTCCTGCAGAAGCTGCCCAGCTTTCTTTGAAACGCCCTGGACGTCCTGGCACCTAGGGGCCTGGCACCGGTCCTGCCCGCCCTGCCCTGGGGTGAGCTGGCGCACCGCGGCCTGGCCCTAAATCCACCCCCCGCCACACCGCCTCTCTTGCCATCCTTTGCTGACCCATTGTTCTTGGAACAATCTGGAGGAAGTTGCCTCAGGTCTGGGGAGCTGGGTGGTCGGAGTCAGCAAGTCCTCAGGGTGCAGTGACTTTTTGGTGCCTCCCTTGTTTTTCTGGAATTTTGTTCTTTTGTTGGTTTTCCTGCTCTGCAGGCTATTTTTGGCGCCCTGGCCCTTCTGGCCAGAGTGATGCCCTAGGACTGCAGGGTGGGAGTGGCAGGTGGCGGAGGCCACCACCTGGCCTCCTGGAGAGGACTTTCCATGCCTGGAGTCAGGCCACCTCGCTGGGTGTGACCCTGGGGCAGCAGGGCAGCTGGCCCACGGCTCCCCCTAACCGCGGGGTGCATCGGAGGTAACAGGAAAGAATAGCTGCGCGCTCACTGCACCCCTGCTTTGTGCCAGGTGCTTCCACGCAGGGTCCCTGCCAGTGACCCCGTCAACCCAGGTGACCACCGGTGGGACCCGGGGTTCAGACAGATGAAGTAGTTTGCACTGGGTCCCAGAGCCAGAAATGGCAGAGCTGGACTCTGACCCCACTAAAAGCCCAGGTCCTTCACCACCAGTTATACTGCCTCTGAGGGGCACAGGGCAGGGGGACAGGCTCATTCTCCGGAGAGGAGCAAGGCCGTCCACTGCAGCCTCCAGGGAGGGGCTGTCTGCCGGGCTTCCCCTGGGTGTGGGGTCCAGAGGGCGTTTTAACCACTTCCCCACTCGCTGCCCACCCCCCCACCATGCCCGTCTCCACTTAGAGGATATCTGCTTTTCTTCTGGCAGACCTGATGTCTTTAAAGAGGATGATGGAGAAGCTCGGGGTCCCCAAGACCCACCTGGAGATGAAGAAGATGATCTTGGAGGTGACAGGCGGGGTCAGCGACACCATCTCCTACCGAGACTTTGTGAACATGATGCTGGGGAAACGGTCGGCTGTCCTCAAGCTGTGAGTACCTCCCCGCCTCTCCCGGGGCCTCAGAAGGCCAAGTCTTGGGGTGTGGAGAGGCCCCTGGCTCGGGCACCTCGGCTGTTCCCCAGCCGGGAGGTAACTCACTGTGTGACCCGCTGGGCAAGGCTTTTCATCTCTCTGAACCGGACTTCCTTAACTGTCACACGCCATGCTCGCCTCTACCTCACAGGTGAAATTAGCCTGTAGCAGAAGGTCTGGTAGGATCGGCACTCGGGAGGTGGCGACTGTGATGACGGTGGTGATAATGATGACAAATCTATCTGGCAGAATGTTCTGAACCTCGTTTTCCTCATTTGTAAAGTGACCTTCCTACCCCAGGGGGTTGTTGCGAGCTTAGTATAGAGTTAAAACCTGACTCTGAAGGGAGGTGGAGTTCGCTGCTCTTCATCTGTAAGATAGAGATGTAATAAATATCTTTCGTGAAGCATTGTCCTGAGGATTAATGACACGACACACACACAGAGGCCAGCCCGGCGGTGCCTGGCGGGCGGCACACACCAAGCACGTGGAGGCCAGAATCACACTCCCTACGCGGGTCTTCGGAGAAGGTCCCTGCCGAGTCTCGTGATGTTTGAGCTGAAAAGGGCCTCTCTTGGCTTTCATGGAATGAGACTGATTTTTTTTTTTCCAGATATACAAAGGTCAAACATACCTGTCTCATTTACGAAGGGGGAAGTTGAGGCCCCAGGAAGCCGAGTAACTGGCTCCTGAGCCCACAGTCTGGGCGGGTCAGAGCCGTTAGTGTGCGTGGGAGGGCCGCCTGCACAGCAGAGGGCTGGCGCCGGCCATCAGAGTGACGGCGCTGTTCACACAACCCCAGAGTTTGGTGGACGTGGACTGTGTGTCAGGCACTCATCTGTGTGTTCGCTCTTTAGACTGATCGTTTGTTAATTCAGCAAATATTTATCGAGCTTTGTGCCAGGAAGTATTCTCGGTGCTGGGGACACAAGTTGCTGGCCTCCTCCTGGAGCTCACGTTCGAAGCACAGGAGACAAACTTCAGCCAACAGAAACAGCGGGTTGCCACAGGGTAGTGCAAAGAAATATAAAGCGGGCAAGTGGAACAGAGACAACGCAGTGGTGGGCAGGAAAAGTCTCACCGAGAAGGCGACATCTGACCAGAGCCTGAGTGAGGACGATGGGAGGAGATGAGCCACGGGAAGACCTGGGGAAAGGCGTTCCAGGCAGAGGGCATGGCACATGCAAAGGCCCTGAGGCAGGGTCGTGCTCGTATGTCCAAGGCACAGCACAGAGCCCAGCTGGCTGGGCAGTTAGTAAGTGCAGTGAATGAAGGATGCATCTGCAGAGGGGGCCACGGGGCCTTGCAGGCCAGTCAGGCGGAGCACTTTGCACTAATGTGGAGGGATGCCACTGGAGGGCTCGAAGCTGGGGACTGACCTTTAAAAGGCCCCCAGTGGCTGCAGCAGGGGGCAGAACGGCAGCGGGGAAGCCTGTGCAAGGAAGAGATGAGGATGCTCTCCTGTGGAGGCTGCTGCGGAACTGGGCAGGGATTTTTGGAATCAGGAGTGATTTTGGAGGTAGAGCTGGAAGCACCGCTTTAATGCCCAGGTGTGGGTGTAAAGGAAAATGAGGAGTCCGCTGAGTCTCAAGTCTGGGGTCTGCGTGATTGAGTGGGCGACTGCTCTTGGCTTGGAGGAGACAGCAGGTGGGGCAAGCGGGAACCAAGAATTCCATTTTTGGTACATTCAAGGGAAGGGCCCTTCAGCCATCCAAGGGGAGGGGTCGAGGAGGGAGCTGGCGGTGCACATCTGCAGCTCAGAGACATGCTGCCTGTGAACGGGACTTCAAGCCCTGGCACTGGAAGAGCCCAAGCAGGGCCTGAGTGCAGGCAGAGTCAGGCACTGCTGCCTGGAACAGCTCCAGGGCAAAAGCACTTCTGGCACCAGTGCTTCCAGATGGAGACACTGAGCAGAAAAGGGGTTGAGTGTCTTGCTGGAGTCACCAGCTGGGAAGTGCTAGGGCAGGGACTCAACCCAGCTGCTTCCTTCCAGACACTGCACCACAAACACTTACCCTCTGCTCCCCAGACTTTGCTGTCAGAGTAGCGGGAGATTTTTGAAGATCGGAAGGGTGTTTTGACAGAGCCACGGCCCAGCCTTAGCAGCGCTGCCTCCAGGCTGCTTGGTTAGGGGAAGGCGCATCGCCCAGACGTCAGAGACCCTGAGTCTTGTCCTGCTTGCGCTGCCTGTGTGGCTCTGAGGAGTCACGTTGCCACTTTGTGTCTCAGTTTTCTCCTCTGTAAAATGGGACTAGGAGCCCCTCCCACGTAGCTGTGGTCCCAGTCTTCTGAGAAGATCCTGCTGGAAAATGGTCGAAGGGCATTCTGCTGAGGAGCCTGCAAACCGAAGGCTGGATGAACTTTCCCTGGATGAGGGAGGGAGTCCTAATCCTGTTTCTTTGTTTTTGTTTTCTTCCGTCTCCAAACCAGAGTCATGATGTTTGAAGGAAAAGCCCAGGAGAGCAGCCCCAAGCCGGTTGGCCCCCCTCCAGAGAGAGACATTGCCAGCCTGCCCTGAGGACCCCGCCCGGACCTGCCCCTGCCCTCCCTGCCCCGTTCCTCCCTCCTGGTCTCGCTGCCCTCTGGACTCATCGTGTTTCATCTTATTTGGTTTTTTTTTGGTCGTTGGGCATGTTTATTTCTTTTCATCTGAAGAATCAGTGATCTCTTTGTGAAGCACCAATTATCTGCCTTAAAGAGACTCTGGGACCGCCCCCCTCTCCTTCCCTCCTCCCTCCACCCCCACCCACGCAGAAGGGCTGACACCAACCCCAAAACTAGAGGGGGTAGGGCCAGGCAGGGAGGCTGGAAGCCTGTGACCCCACGCTTGGAGCTGGTATTGTCTGTTCTTCCTGGAGGTCTCTGAGCTTAGCCCAGGCTCGCCGGCCCGGCCCTGCTGAGGACTTCAGCCCCTTTCAGAAGACACTGGGGTAGGGACGGGGCTGCAGGTCTTGCTAGGTTTTCCCCAGAGTTGTCCAGGAGGTCACCACTCATTGCCCCACTGCCCCAGGTGATGCCCCCCTCAGGCCATGCTTCTTCTCGTCCTCACTCAGGTGATGGAAGGATTGAGCCCTTCAAGAAATTCCAGAAGGGAATTCCAGAAGAAGTCCTCTGGCCTAGCCATCCCCACCCTCCCTGCCAGCCATACCTTTACAGGCAGCTCAGAGGGAGCCCTGTCCCTTGCTGGGCGGCAAGGACTTTGGAGGTAGAAGGAAGGCCTGGGGCCTTGTGGAGGGAGGCTCGTCTCAGTCCAGTCCTACCCCAGAACCATCCCCAGGGAGGATGCTGAGGGCAACAGGTGAGGGGGGCGAAGGATAAAATGCTCGTGGCAAAGAGTCAGCACAACTGTGAAGCCAAGACATGAGAGACGGGATGCTGCCTTTCTGACCCCAGTCTCCTTGAACACTGGCTGTGCTTCCCCAACTCACCTCCCCACCTTACATCACTCATTCATTCATTCACTCAGTCCCTCAGATGACAGATATTTATTGACCTCTTATGATAAGCTTTAAGGCTCCCCTCCCACTTTGTCCTGACCTGTGCTGTGTCCACTGTCTCACTCGTCTCTTCCAAACTGCCCCAAACCTTGAGCTTAGGGATTGGACTGTGGCTCACCCATGTCCTCCATTCTGGACTCAGGGTTTTACAGCCCTGATTTACCCTGTAGGTTAGCGGAGCCAGGCCTCTCGTTTCACTGGGGAGAACACTGTGGTGGCCCACAGAATCAAGTGCCTTGCTGAAGGTCAGGGGCTACTGTGGAGACTGAAGTGTCTGGACTCAAGCCCTGGTGTTCAGATGCCCGGCCCCTGCTCGTCTCTGCTCTGGGTTGCCTCAGGCAGTGATGAAACCAAAGGGAGAGCCAGTCTCCTAGGTCAGCGCTGGGGGGAGACCCTGGGCCAGGACTCGCCTTTCCAGAGCCTCCGAGTCTGCATCAGGGTTTGGGTCAGGGCCAGGCTGCCTTTGCAGTTCTGCCCTCCCTAGAGCTGCAGCTAAGCCATGTCTCGGGACTTGGGACTCACACAGGTGCCACACTCAGCCCCAAGCTGGCCGAGCAGGAACCTTAGCCTGGACCCCACCTGTGTTCTGGGTCCCTTACCCTTAGACACACGCATCTATTGAACCTATTTATTAAGCACCTGCTGTGGGCTGAGCACTAAGAACCGGTAGTGAAATAGACAGACTCATGGAACGTAGAGTCTTGTGAGGAAGCCAGACCCAGGCAAGGACAAGGGAGATGGATGTTAGGAAAGAGGGAGCTAATGGGTGACTGCACTGAAATTTTGAGGGCCTAGCTGGGCCCTAGATGAGGCGAGAGTCTTGGAGAAGCCCTTGCCAAACCTGAAGTGGAGAGGTCTGGGTGCTGTTGGAGGCTGGAGCCAGTGTGGGCGCCCTGCGGCTCCTCGGTGCCCCATACTCAGGGCCCAGGGAGCTGCCCTGACAGCAGCTTGAGGGACTGTGGCAGGTAGGGGGTGGGAAAACACCTGGGGCTGGTTCATCAGCTGGTCTTAACCAGTGCAAGAGCAAGATTACTTTGGCCATGACTGATCTTTAGGTGGGCTAAGGAGCTGCTCAAGTGCACAGGCCTAGTTGAAGTTTAAACCCCAGCAAAACAGTTCTCCCTGTAAGTGTAAAATCTCAGCCCACCTCCTTCTCTGTCTTGTTTTCTTCCCCCCGAGAGATCGTTAGATAAGCAACTGCCTGTCTCCACCACTCCCTCTACCTCTCCTCTCTGGGACAGGATGAGACCTTTGTCAAGATGAGGCTTTCTTGGACTGCCCATCAGTGTACCTGACTCTCACTCAGAGGAGGCAGAGCCAATGGGGTTTATTTCAATAGGCTCAGCGGTTTACAGGACCCCAGGAAAGCCTCCCTGGGGAGGAGAGCTCGTGGGCATGACCCCACCTCTGGAAAAGGCAGGAATGGGAGCTCTCTCACTGCAAGGGGAATGTCCTGGGAAAGCCCACCTGATCCTTTGCCATTTTTGGAACTCAACTCCTAGAGGGGAGAGGGGCTCAGGAGTGGTCTCTGGAAAGGGGGTTCTCGTGTATTGCAGGTTGTGTCTATTGGCTCTAGAACTCTACTTCTCTGGCGAAGGGCTCATCTTTTTAGAACTTCAGCTGTCTTCTTTCTGAAAGACCAAATCTTACTAATGTAACCAGAAACTCGGGGACTGCCAAGTCTGGCTTTGTCCCCGTGACTCAAAATGAAGGAGTGTGTCGCGCAAGTTCAGGTGGATGCAGTATGTGTGTGCGCATGCCTGTGAGCGTGTGTGATGCCGGTTGTCCTCTGCACATACTGGAAATAAAACAGACAAACTGATGTCTTGATTGGTGTATTTTGGGGATGGGCTCTGGGGGGGTGGTCTCTGCAAATTCTGAAGAGCAAGCCAATTATAGGAAGAGATTGCATGAATGTGTCTTGTGTACCAGGGTCTGCTAAACACAGAACTTCATTCACCCCTCACAGCAACCCAAGGAGTCAGGTTCTGTTTGTCATCCTTTTTTTTTTTTTTTTAAATATAAAATGAGAGGCAGGCTTGTAGCAGATCCACAATTTGCTGAAAACCAAGCAGTAAGTGGTAGAATGTGTCCCGGCCCTCCACCTCTCCACGAAATAGTCACTGAACATATCCCGACAAGTTGGATTCTAATCCCCCCTCCACCCCTCTCTGACCAATGGGCACTGGGTAATTAGCTTTTCTGTACTTCTAGTTAGCTAATCAATTGTATGGCAATGACTCCTAGGTGACTAGGATGTCTGGGAGAGTAAATAACACACCTAAAGTGTTTTTGTGGTTTCCAGGCTCTTGCTTCGGAAATGATTACCTTGAAAAGATAAGCACTGCCGATGTTTGAGGAACTTTAACCTCCCCTTTCAGCCTTCAAATTTAGACACAGAAAAGTCTCCCGTGGTGAGGCCCCACTCCACCCAATTTCTGAATTTCCTTTCCTCCACGCCCCTCTGCAAAGCCCCTCTTAAGAGCTGCGCCTGGAAATACTTATTAATTTCCTAACTTCTCTAAGTCCGGAATTATCCATAACCACCTGGGTGCAAAAGTTAAGTTACCAAGGGGTCTCGGCCCATCGCAGAGCCCTGAGCGCTCGGGCATGCGCCGTCCGGCGACAGACAAACGCGAAGTTGAGCCGGCTCTAGCTGCGAAGGCGGGGTTGGCACCTGGATGGTTCGGGACGCTGGCTCGCGGGCTCCGGGGCCACACCCCCTACTCCGCTGGAGCGGGCCAATGGGAGGCGGCGGCCAATAGAGGGCGCGACTTCAGACTATCTCGCAGCCTCCAGGACCACGCCACGGACGGAAACGCGTGACGCCACCAAAGCGCGCCGGAAGTACGAGACCGCTGCGCGCTGGTAGCGTTGTGTGGAGGAAGTCCGCCTGGGGGTGGGCTGCGCTGGGCGGGCGAGGCCGCGGCGGGCCGCGGCGGCTGCTTCGACCACCTGAGGGCGGCGCAATGGGAGACGAGATGGATGCCATGATCCCCGAGCGGGAGATGAAGGTCAGAGGCTGGCCAGGGCTTCCCTCCATTCCTTAGTGTCAGCGTTGCCTTAGATAGAGCCCCGCGGAACGGCGCCGCGCGGGTACCGGCTGCCCCGCCTCCTGTTTGAACATTTGCCGCGTTCGGAGTTGTCTGTCGCCTGCATACCCTGCGGCACTGTTCCTGCCGTCCGCGTTGTAGCCCCGCGGAGAGTAGTTTCCCCTTCCCGTGTTGGTCTCGTGCGAGACACCTGGGTTACTTTAGCTACTTTTCGGTGGTGGTCGGAGTAGTGGTAATAAGGTATTTATTGAGTTCAGTATGTGCTAGGTACTGTGTTAATCACACAGCAACCCTGCGAAAAAGTTAGTATTAGAAGAGGAAATCGAGGTTCGGAAAGTAGCTTACCCAAAGTCACATTGGACAGAGGCTGAAATTCAGGTGGTGGGTTGGGGTTTTTTTTTTGTTTTTGTTTTTGTTTTTAATACTCTCTCTTTCTGCCTCACTGTACTGTTTCTGTCTGGGCCTGCCGAACACAGAGCCGGGAGGATTTATCACCTGTCGTTGGTGATAAATAGAAAGACTCTCCTGGTACTGGAAATCTGCCAAAGTCAGGAAACTGAAGAGGGGGCAGATGATCCCAATGATAGTTATAAACTCGAAAGGGAGTGAGTTGCAGGAAGATTTTAGGCGTTTGTTTGAACGAATCACTGACATCCGCTTAGGGAGTAGTAATCCACACCTTTAGAGAGCGATGATTCTTTGTCAAAATCACTGCCTGCGGGAGCCCCCCCCCCCCAATTTGCGAGTGCCGTATTCATCACATATGCTGGAGCAGAGGGAAAAAAGGTTTTAGAACCACAGACTCAGAAGATGGAATCTCCCTTTGAGTTACCGATTACAACAGAAAGGAGAGCACTCTTGGGCCTCTTCGTCTCGCCGGCTCTCTGCCTCCATGGGACAAGGCCCCAGAAGGATATTTGGGATTGCCAGGATAAGAAATGTCAGAAAGACTAAAATTTTATTCTGCTCCTGTATGAAACTGTACTGTGGTTTCACCTGGAAAGCTGTGTGGATTTCTGATCAGTTGGAAATTAAGAGCATTTCATTCATCTTTCAGAATATGTATGCATTAGACATTGAATCAAAGGAAATGAGTCTGGGGGGTGTGGGAGGGATGCTTCATGAAACCCTAAGTGTACAAAACTGAAGGCTGAGAAAGGCTGTCTCTGGCCCTTACACTTTGGAATGTAAGCAGAAGGGCATTCACATTCTTTTCACCAAAACCTCAACTTAAAGGTAAATTTAGAATGAAAGGGAAAAAAAGCTTTTATAGTACAACTTAACATTGTGATTGGTAAACTTATGGACCTCTTTTTACCAAGAAGCGGTGCACACTGAAAATTGTCTTTGAAAGCATATAGATAAATTTTGGGGAGATTGGGTGAGTCTAGCATTGGCAGGAGGTGGGGGAAGGCTGCCAGGCCCTGAACTGCTGTGGAAATGGAAGGAAATGAAAACTGGACATAGGTGAGGGCTGGAGGTGGTGCAGGGTGTGGCCCAGGTGCACCTGTGGCAGGGAGGCAGCAGTTAGGTGAAGCTCCAGAGTTGGGTGGGTTAAGCCTGGCTTCATAGCCTGTGTGAACACCAAGAGGTTAACATACATACCGTTTTGGTTTTTTTGTGTGTGTGTGATGGAATTTTGTTGAGCATTTGATGCAAGTAAGTCAGTTCTTGGGCTTTGGTTATCTTCCTGTGTCTTTATTCCCATGTATGTGTGTTGAGCACTGCACTGGATAGTCAAGCTTACAGTGTAGTGGGGGATGTACTCAATATTCAACAATTTATGAAGCACTGCTCTGGATCCTGAGATAATGCATACTACAAAACAGGATAAGATTATAAGTAAATAACAACATCAGCTTGTATGGTGGTAGACACTGTAAACTAGGAATTCAGGAAAGGAAAAGTTCAGTGTGAGCCAGTTAGTCAAGGAAGGCTTCATGGAAGAATTTTTAAAAATTTATTTCACGAAATAAGTATTAATAAGCACTATGCCAACTACCACAATTTGCATAGGAAGCTTAAAAATGACGAAGTCGTGCAGTTGTTGGTTTCGGGGTAACGGGTGTTTTTGTTGTACTGGAATTGGGTCTTCTGGACTATGACAGGCAGGATTTAATTTCCCATTTTCTCTGCACTGACCTCATTTTGATCTCTTGCAACAGGATTTTCAGTTTAGGGCCCTGAAGAAGGTGAGAATCTTTGAATCCCCTGAGGAGTTGCCCAAGGAACGTTCGAGTCTGCTTGCTGTGTCCAACAAGTACGGACTGGTCTTCGCTGGTGGGGCCAGTGGGTTGCAGATTTTTCCTACTAAAAATCTTCTTATTCAAAATAAACCTGGAGACGATCCCAATAAGATAGGTAAGTTTACTTGCTTTGTGTTGAATAGAAGAGGGAGGAGTATAGTGAGTGAAGTGCTAATCTAGTTCCCTTCCTAAGAAATTCTAATATTAAAATGAAAACTTCTCTAGTCCTCAGGTTGGCCCCTAAGGATAAGTTCTAGGTCAGATGTTGGAAGCCTTTCTGGTTCTTTTTGGTCCTTTTATATCTCTTTGTTGATAAGTTGTTCCTTTGAGCTTATGGGAAAGAAGAATTTGCCATTTCCCCCATGCATTTATTTTTGCTCAGTTGAACCTGGGTTCTGCCTGTTTTGGAGAAAGGTTTTGGTACATGGCTTTTTAGTTGACACAACAATTTGATCCAAACAAATGGGAGTGTGCTGTTTGGAGCATTGTTGCAAAAAAATATGGGTACAGGTTGGCAAGATTGCGATTGAAATGGTGGGGGCAGTTTTTTTACGTTAATGGTGTAATTTGGGGAAGCACCTAAGGATCAGGATTGGTTTTCAGTGGAGTGAACCAACCTTGCAATTGGAGGGCTGGAACTTTCAGCTCCCCCAGACCCTACCCCAGGAGGTTGACTCAATCACCAGTGGCCAGTGATTTAATCAGTTGTGTCTTTGCGGTGAAGCCCTCGTAAAGCCCTGAGGAGGATGGTTTGGAGAGTTTCCGAGTTGGTGAGCGTGTGGAGATGCAGGGAGAGGTGCAGGCCTGGACCCGTACTCGGCAAACTACAGGACACTGATGAACAAAGTTAAGGAAGACACAGATTAAAAGAAGCACACACCACGTTCATGGATTGGAAGAATGAACATCATCAAATGCCCATACTCCCCAGAGTGATCTGTAGATTCAGTACAATCCCAGGGACGTATTGCACAGATATAGAACAAACATTTCAAAAATTTATGTGGAACCATAAACGACCCGAATAGCCTCAGCAATTTTGAGAAAAAGAGCAAAGTAGGAAGGATCACAATACTTGATACCAAACTATATCACAAGGCCACTGTCATCAAAATAGTCTGGTACTGGCATAAGAACAGACACATAGATTGATGGAACAGAACAGAGGGCTCAGAAATAAACTGAAGTTTCTATGGCCAATTAATATTTGGCAAAGGGGGCAGGAGCATAAAATGGAGTAAAAATAGTCTCTTCAACAAGTGGTGTTGGGAGAGCTGGACAACTACATGCAAAAAAAATGAAACCTGACCACTAACACCATACACAAAAATAAACTCAAGATGAGTAAAAGATTTGAACATCAGTCATGACACCATAAAAGTCCTGGAGGAGAACATAGGAAAATCTCATATTCCACGCAGCAGTATTTTCACTGATATGTCTCCTAGAGCAAGAGACATAGAGGAAAGAATAAACAAATGGAACTACATCAAATATAAGAGCTTCTGCACAGCCAAAGAAAACATCAGCAAAATGAAAGGAGAACCAACCAGATGGGAAAATAAATTTGCCAATGATACCTCAGACAAGGGTTTGATCTCCGAAATGTGTAAAGAACTCATATGACTCCACACCAGGACGACAAACAATCCAGTTAAAAATTGGACAAAGGATTTGAACAGACAGTTCTCTAAGGAGGACATACAGAGGGCCCAGAGACATATGAAAGGATGCTCAGCATCACTAGCCATCAGAGAGATGCCACTTCATACCAGTCAGAATGGCCATCATAAACAGATCAACAAACAAGTGCTGGTGAGGTTGTGGAGAAAAGGGAACCCTAGTGCGCTGTTGGTGGGAAGGCAGGCTGGTGCAGCCACTGTGGAGAACAGTATGGGATTTCCTCAGAAAATTAAGAATGGAACTGCCTTTTGACCCAGCAGTTCCACTGCTGGGAATATACCCTAAGAATCCTGAAACACCAATGCAGAAGAGCCTGTGCACCCCATTGTTCACAGCAGCACAATTTACAATAGCTAAGTGCTGCAAGCAGTCTTTAAGTGCCCGTCAGTAAACGAATGGCTCAAAAACTGGTACGATTACAGTGGAATTCTATGCAGCAGAAAGGAGGAGCTCCTACCCTTTGTGACAGCATGGATGGAACTGGAGAGCATTGTGCTAAGGGAAATATGCCAGGCGGTGAAAGACAAATGCCATGTGACTTCACCTGTAAGTGGAACCTAATCAATAAAACCAACAAGCAAGCAAAATACAACCAGAGACATGGAAATAACAAACTGAAGTGAGAGGGGGATAACAGAGAAAGAAGGGGAAGGGTCAAGTCACGAACATGTATAAAGGACCCACAGATGAAGACAGTGGGAGGGCAGGGGAGAGTAATGGGGGGAACTGGGCACAACTGTAATTGGACAACAGTAAGAAAAAGCTGGCAGCCTGGAGAGGGCGTGGAAGCTGCAAACCGTTCCCTAGACCTTGCCTGTGCACAGCACCTCTCCCGTCTGGCTGTTCCTGAGTTGCAGTCTCACGGTAAACCACCAGTCTAGTCAGGAACACACAAGAGGTAATCCAAAACAACTGGAATCATCTTCCGGAGGGCGGGCCCCTTGGAGTACAGGCTTCCCCCACTAGGTGAGTGTTCTAGGAACCCATCTGTGTCTGTACCAGCTGGCATTGTTGTGAGAGGCTGCATTCAGAATCAGTGAATTTTTCTTAAAGACTCTCTCAACGCATTTGCCTGTTTAATGGTGAGTAATTTACAGGCGCACCTGCCCGCATCATGCTGAGTGTTCTGCAGTTTTTGACCAAAAAACTGTATGCCCCTGTGCCCCACCCTCCCTAGTCACCTGATCTTGCCCCCAGTGACTTCGTTTTGTTTCCCTGGATGAAGAAAGTCTCCAAAGGGAAATGTTCTGCCGATGTGGAAGAGGTAAAACAAAAAAGGGCAGAAGCACTAAAAGGTATCAAAATCAACAATTTCAAAACTTTTGAATAGTGGGAAGAACTTCTGGATAGGTATATTGCATCAGATGGAGAGTACTTTGAAAGTGCAAACAGAAGTTTAAACATGCAAGAATAAATACACAATTTTTTATAAATTATGGGGTTTTGGGGGGAATGGTACCACCTCGTACAGTATTTCTCTGAGTTCTTTGAATGGTTCTAGCAAATTAATTGGGCCCAAGGAATGAGTTGTGGGAAACCTGTGATTTATAGCCAGTTGGTCAGAAGTACAGGCAACAAACTGGACTTGCAGTTGGCGTTCTGAGTTCAAGGGCTCATGGAGACCCCCAGTCTGAACCCAGCTGGTCAGAAGCACAGAGACCCCGGGCTCAAGTCTGGGCCTGAAGTGTGGGGGTGGGGTTCAGTCTCATAGGACTGAACACTTGACCTTTGGATCCTGATGCAATCTCTGGGAAGGTAGTGTCGGAACTGAGTTGAATTCTCAGACTCCTGAGAATTGTTTGTTGGTGTGGGGGGCAATTCCACCCCCTGGTGGAATTAAGTCTGGAAACCCAGTTTGAGGACATCGTTTTCAACAGAGGCGACTGCCAGTTAGTCTCCCCAGTCATGTGAGGAAGAATTCCCGGGGCCTTGTGCGCCATTACACACCTGTAAGAAGGCTGCGGTGTAGCTGCCTGAGTACGCATCGGGGCCTGTTCCTGTGTTGGCGGAAATGCATGTAGACTGGGTAAGACTGGGTAAAGCAGTTGTGATGTATGCTTAGAACATCCCATTTTCTGCCCCTTTTTTATTTTACATTTTTACAGTGGATAAAGTTCAAGGCTTGCTAGTTCCTATGAAATTCCCCATCCGTCACCTGGCCCTGAGCTGTGATAACCTCACACTCTCCGTGTGCATGATGTCCAGTGAATACGGTTCCGTTATCGCTTTTTTTGATGTTCGCACATTCTCAAACGAGGTAAGCTACTGGCCGGCTCTGGTGTCAACACAGGGCCTAGGGGTTCCTGGTATATATTCAGATTTGGATTGTAAAAAGTTCTCAGTTATAGAATCAGTGATCCTTGAGGTAGAGGGACTTCAGGAAGTTATTTCACAATAGCACCTGAGACATTATCATTTCTCATGTACATGTGAGACAGTGAAAGCCTAGGGAGCTTTAGGTGACTTGCCCAGGACCACAGAGCTAATGGGTAATGTCACAGTGACAACACCCTGGGTCTCTGACGTCCTTGTGCAGTGTCTTCACTCCCGAAGGTCAGTAATGATGTAACAGTCCATAGTAGCGTTGCACGGACTGCCAGGCGCTGTGCTGGTGCTTTGCCTGCCTCGTCCTCACTCGTGCCTGCCAGGGCCCTGCGCAGGAGGGGCCGCGGTCTTCACTTTGTAGGTGGAGACGCAGGCCCAGAGAGTTTACGTACCTCTCCAAGGGCCCAGTGCTATTAAGAAGCAGAGCCCAGGTTGTAATCTAGTGTCCGCTGTTTATTGATTACCCTGCGTTTGTATAACTTCTGCTGGAAGTCCCTCCATTGTGCCAGAATAATTGATTGCCATTTTCAAAGTTGTGTGACAAAGGGGTTATTGTGTAGAGCTACATTTTCCATGTTCATGGAGAAAAGTGGACCATCTTTTTTTTTTTAATTTATTGATTTGTGAGAGAGAGAGAAACATCGATTTGTTGTTCCACTTTTCCATGCATTCATTGGTTGGTTCTTGTATGTGCCCTGACCGGGGATCAAACCTGCAGCATTGGCATGTCGGAATGACACGCCCAGCTGAACTACCCAGCTGAGCTACCTGGCCAGGGCGTGAACTTAAATATTCAATGATTTCCTCCCCCTATGAAGTATTTATGCATTAATCGATTTTCTTTTGCCTTTGGCCATTTGTTTTAAAAGGCTAAACAACAGAAACGCCCATTTGCCTATCATAAGCTTTCGAAAGATGCAGGCGGCATGGTGATCGATATGAAGTGGAACCCCGCTGTCCCCTCCATGGTGGCAGTGTGTCTGGCAGATGGCAGCATCGCTGTCCTGCAAGTCACCGAAACAGTGAAAGTGTGTGCGACGCTTCCTTCCACAGTAGCAGTGACGTCTGGTGGGTGATAAAGGCTTTTACTCTGTGACGTACATTAATGCTAATCTCTTTGAAAATTAATTTCTGGAAATAAAAGTAAATGTTGTATTTGTTATTATTTGGTAGAAGTGGAGAGAGATTCTTTATTTCCATAGTTAATATCCATGAAACTAAATAGCATGATTTAATCTGCATGTGCTTGGGTTCTCTGGAGGAAGAAATATTTTGGTGCAGCTGGTTAGGAACTGTGCTTTTGAGAAGAACTGTTTCTGGATCTGAAGTAGTAGTACTCTGTAAGTCATCTGTGCTTTTCAGAGGAAAGGCATCAGAAATATCAAATAGGGGCAAGACAGTGATTTCTTGGTGTTTGAAAACCTTCTCTAGTCCCCGGTCTTGTCTAAAGACTACAGAGTTTTGCCTACTTCCAGCTTTCTGGGAAATACTTCATTGAAAAGCATTTTTAGCCGTTGATTCAGTGGCCCAGCGGTAAGTCATAATTGGCTTGTGTCATCAGAGCGATTTTTATTCTTTCTTACTTTGCCGAAGGGTGACCCTTTGAACTAGGAGAGCGAGAGCTGGTGTTCCGATCTGTGATAGTGTTGACACCAAGAACAGTCGGCGACCAGGTGCTGACCCTGTGCTGCTCCCACGGTTTGCCCCCCTGCCCCCACAGTCTTTCACTGGTGGCCCTCTCTTCTTTGCTCAGTGTGCTGGAGTCCCAAAGGAAAGCAGCTGGCGGTGGGGAAGCAGAACGGCACTGTGGTCCAGTACCTCCCTGTAAGTCTTGCCATGGTTTCAGGTCTGTTCCCACAGAAGCTACCCCCTGGTGTGAGGGTGGTGTGGGGACATCTTTGGTGTGTTTTTCTGTTAAAATGTTATTTATTCTAATTGCAACAAATTCTTCAGTACATAAGTGGGTGCAGGAAAGAGGGGAGCCCCTCTTCCCTTCCATCCCCTGGTCCATGTTCCGGGGTCCCCTCTGCTCTGGAGGAGCATACAAATAGACTCTGTGTACACTATTTATTTTTAGACAGCGGAGAAAGGAGGGAGAAAGAGAGGGAAAGGAACAGTGATGTGTGGTTGCCTCTTGCACACCTCCCAACTGGGGACCTGGCCCGCAACCTGGCATGTGTACTGACCAGGAATCGAACCAGTGACCCCTTGGTTTGTAGGCTGGCACCCAGTCCACTGAGCCACACCAGACATGATTTGTTTCGCTTTTTAAATAAAATGCTACCATTTTCTACACACGGTTCCTCAACCTTGTGTCCTCAATCCACTCCATAAAGACGGCTTAAGGGGAAGAGGAGTAGGTGCAAGGCTGATACTGTGATGCAGAATCGCTTCAGGCGAAGCAGCGTTCGGCCTCCGGCTGAGCCCATTGTGAAGGTTCTGTTTCTGTGACTCCGGGCAGCAGAGCCAATGGGCACACAGGTTGCTGCACATGCGCTGTGTCATCCTGCGCCTGTGGTTTCCCGACGCACTCAGAGAGGCCGTGTGTCTGGGTGAGCCCGGGCGGGGAGGAGGGGTTCACAGGCGACGCCCAGGCCTGTGCTGCTGTTTGTAGCTCCTGGAGAGACTGTCCTCTGTGGGGGGTGCAAGGCAGTGACCACAGTGGTGTGGGCTTGAGGTTAGGGTTTGTTATTTGTCATTGCAAAAAGTTAGGTGAAATTCGGTCCATATTTTAGGGCATTAGCTTGTAAAAAGATAATATAGTGGGTTTAATTTTATTGGTTTGCTGTTTCCCTTTTTTAAAAATGTAATAGTATATTGGAGTCCTTTTGCCTACTTACGTATACAGAGCCCCTTCATTCTTTTGAATGGCCGCGTGGCAGTGCAGTGCATGGCCGTGCTGAAAGTTATCCCTCTATTCCATTACCGACGGTCATCTGTCGGTAGGAGTGGTTTTGCTGCTGTAAATAGGGCTGCACTGAGCGTCCCCATTACCTGCATCCGAACATGTTGGTGTGTTTCTGTGGGACAGGACCCCAGAAGCAGGCACCTCCTCTTTCCCGTGTTCAGGCTGTCCTCACTGGGGAGGGGAAACTTAGGTGGCTTCTAGGGGGGCGACTGGATTTGACAGTTTCATTGGCTTGGGGATTGTTTCATGTGACACTTCTTTCTTTTTTCAAATCTCTTTCAGACTTTGCAGGAAAAAAAAGTCATTCCTTGTCCTCCGTTTTATGAGTCAGATCACCCGGTCCGAGGTAATGTGTCTGCTTTTCTATGGGGCTGACCTTCCGTTTGGTGCCGTCTGTGTCCCGGAAGTTTTGGCCACATGATGCGCCTGCATCCCTGCTCAGGGGCGTGCTGTTGTCCCTCGGGGAACACGCACACTGTCAGTCAGTGGTCTGGTCCTCGGGATGGCCATCTAGTAGACTGCTGTGTCTCACGGCAGCTGGCATTAACTGGGCTCTGGTTTTTTACATTGGAATTCTCATAACTTTCCCTGATTATAATCCAACAGGGGGAAAATGCCACTTGGGGGTAAATTTGGGCTTGTAATCAGTGAAATCTGGACCTTGGCGAAAGCTGTAGTAATTGGGTTTTTTACCTGTAAGATGTTGGTTTTGTGGCATGCCGGGCTGTCCCAGGCAAGCTGCTCATTTAGGGCGCGTGTCTTTCAGTCCTAGACGTGCTGTGGATCGGTACCTACGTCTTTGCCATAGTGTACGCTGCTGCAGACGGGTCCTTGGAGACGTCTCCCGACGTCGTGATGGCACTGCTCCCGGTGGGTACATGAAAAGGGTGTCTCCGTGCTTCGAGAATCAGAAACGTCTCCTAATGAAGTTTGCAGCTCAGCCTTCACTTTCATGTTCTGGTGGCGATGGTGCGCCTTCAGGTTTCAAAACTGCACCGTCGGTCTGGGGACCAGACTTACGTTGCCGAACTGAACGAGGGCCTGCTCGCCCGGTGTGCAGCAGAGGCACACGCTGAACGTGTGCAGCCTGAGGTTTGCAGCGGAGGAATTAAAGCCATTTTGGTCGTAGGGCGCCTGCAAGGAGAATGGGAAGCTGCAGCTTAAAACCCGAACTCCCCACTGGCTTTCTTAATCAAGGGTTATTTTTAAAGGCAGGGTTGCGGGGAACAGGGCTGGCTGTGCAGTTCTGATTGGAGAGCTCTGGGACTCGGCCACTGTGATCAGATACGTAGGGAGCTTCAGATACATACGGAGCTTCAGCACCGGTCTTGCTGCACCTCAGGCCCTTCGCTTCCGAGAGGGTTCTGTCTTCGAGTTCTGTTGTGTTTCGGTCCTTTGGTTCCCTGAGGAGGGTGACACTTTGGTTCCAGCTGCAGCCGGAGGGGTGTTCCTCCTCTGCACGTGTTTTGGCTGCATGACTACAGCGTTGGTCCATTGTCTCTGCAAAGTGACTTACCTTGTCAGGACGGGGCCATTTTGAGCTGGTTCTGCAGTTATAACACCGCTTCCACTTGGAGCCTGTCCTACTATAATCAGTCGTAAGGTGAAAAAAACTGTAAAACTTTCTTTTGCTTAAGCTGTAAACTGAGTCTCAATAGATGTTAACCTCTAAGGTATTTTAGAAAAGCGAGAGAATACCTTTAAAATGCTTCCCCTTATTTATCCATTGGCTGTGTATCAAATGCCTACAGTGTGTTAGGTTAAAGCCAAGCGTGCTGTGTCCTTGCTCTCGTGGGTGGGTCTCCCATCCTCACGAGTGTGCCAGTGCAAAGATGAGCACAGGATCACGGGAGCTGAGGGTGACGGCGGAATAGAGCAGGGCCTGAGAGGGGGGCACCGGGGACCGGGGACGGCTGCGATGGGGTCGAAGAAGGGCTCTGAGAGGAGCCGTTCGAGCCAGGACCAGGTGTGAGGGAGGCAGCCACTGTCCGCACCGAGAAGAAAGGCAGTGTCTGCAAAGGCTCACTGAAGTGCCTGGAGTTTAAAAAAAAAAAAGTGCGCGGACATATTTCCAGAAAACAATTGACAACATGTACGTGAATGTCTAAATACCACAGAAGTGGAGTTAAACTTGTCCTTCTGTTTTGCAACCTTATTTTAGCTGGTAGTAAATTGCAAGCATCTTTCTATGTTGAATAAAATCTGATTTGGCTTTGAACAGATTAATTTAGCTCCGTTTTTAACCCTTTTGGGTTCCTCATACAGTGACTTTACAGCGTGTTGACAGTTGCGCCCCGCTGCAGCGTAGGTTTATTCTGAGAACTGTCACTCCACGCGCCACTGTCCTAGACTGGGCCCTCATACACCCCACGTGGCCCAGCCTCCCCCCAACCCAGGCCGCGTGGTCGAGTGCCCAAAACACCTCTGCTCTTGGGTGTTTTGGGCTAAGACATCCCTGTCACAAAAGACAAATGCTTAGGAGAAAAACAAAAAGTTAATAACATGTTTACCTCCTGTATTCATGGAAAACTGAGTAATTGTCTGAAAGGGCCGAGTCCACCTCCTTAAATACCATCTTCAGCTGAGGACAAAGGAAAACGGGGGGGGGGGGGGGGGGGGGAGCGGGGAGTCAGTTCTGGGAAGTGGCCAGGGAAAGGGTAAGGCCGTTACGCACATTTACGAGCTCGCCTTCCTTCCGCGTTGGTAAGGGGTCCTAGAGAGGAGGTCACGCCCCCCTTCTTGCAAGGGAAACACCCTTATAGTGGAAATTTCCCCAGTAAATGTTTTACAAATGCAACTTCTACTTGGCTTTCAGAGTGTCTTCATGTCTGCTCCTTCTCAGAACTAAAGCTTAAAGTAATCCTATGCCAAGTAGACATTTTCAGGTGACAAATGCCAGTCCCTGCAGCTCCTAGGTCACTACCCTGTGCAGCGTGTCCAGGTACTGAGCACGTCTGTGTGCTCTGTGCTCTACAGTTTTATGATGGCCAAGGTGTTTTGCTGTTATATCACTGGTCGAGAGGAATTTCTCAGCTTCACGTCATCTTAGCGAGTCACAGTCCTATGTGTGGTCTGTTGCCAAAATGGACCAAAATGTCATCGTGTAGCTCAGGAAGGTAGTGAGTGTATTCCTGTCTCAAACGTCGTGGCGGTTTTCTGTTCCTGGGGACGGCACGAACACTAGCAGGGGTTCCTTTGAGTGCCTGCGTCCCTCGTCTGGGCTGGAAGCTTTGTATGTGTCGTTTCATCTCACACTTTCAGCAACCTCTGATACAGGTTTAGTAGGTGTGTTACACACGTGAGAAAGATGAGTATCAGAGAGGCTGGGTCACCTGTACACACTTGTCCAGCGGCCGGAAACCGACAGTTGGGATTCAGTTTGGTTGACGGCCACCGCTCCTCTTCCTTACACCCCTCGGTTCGGCCTTTACATCATGCCTGTCCATCTGGACATAGATTTTTGAGCAGCTTTTCTCATAAAACTTAACTGGTTTTCTTGTTCAAGATCGTGAACTGTATAGGATTAAAGATGAGCCGCACCTGAGTTTTTGTCCTTGTTCTGTTCATTGCAGAAGAAAGAAGAAAAGCACCCTGAGGTGTTCGTGAACTTCATGGAACCCTGCTACGGCTGCTGCACGGAGAGACAGCACCACTACTACCTGAGTTACATTGAAGACTGGTGAGCGGGGCCCAGGGCGGGTTCTGCTCCCGCCCGAGTCACTGTGAGAGGAGAATGGAGGCTAGAGGCGCCATGAACGTATTTTCAGCTGGCTCTGGATAATGCCTTCTGGCCACGCCTTCAGTTCCCCAGCCTGGAAGTGCGTAGCTCAAGTGTGTGCTAATTTTAAAAATCCCCTTTTCTTAATAACCACAGTGACAACTTACGAAAATACTGGTATTTAAGGAACATAATGAAAGTTGCCATCTGAGAGCAGAAGCTTCCCTTTGACAGATAACTTGGCGCAAGGCTGCGGTTCCTCTAACGGGACTGTCCTGTTGGTGGGATTGTGTGCTGTGTGCTCAGAATTCCAGCCCGAATCTCTCGGTCTCGCCTGGGTCTTGGTTGGGCGGCCTTTCACACAGTCTTCAGGGCCTTATCCTGTGAACTAAAGTGTTGAGTTTTACATCTAAAAGTGTCCTCACTGTTCTGGCTGGTGTGGCTCAGCGGATTGAGTGCTGGCCTGAGAACCACAGGGTCACTGGTCTGGTTCCCAGTCAGGGCACATGCCTGGGTTTCGGGCCACGTCCCCAGTAGGAGACGCATTGAGAGGCAATTACACATTGATGTTACCCTCCCTTCCCCTCTCTAAAAATAAATAAGATCTTTTTAAAATTAAAAAAAAGTCTTCTCACCTTTCTTCAGCCGTCTGGGAAAGCTCAGCTTCTCCTTGACCCCTCCAGGCAGCCCTCGTAGATGTTCTCACGGACTCAGGTCGTCGGGGCTGTCGGACTTAATGATCTTCTGGCTTATCTTCTGCAGGGATCTGGTGCTGGCGGCCTCCGCGGCCTCCACAGAAGTCAGCATCCTTGCTCGACAAGGCGATCAGGTACTTTCCTCCCTTTTGTCACTTTGTGGGCAGCTTTCCTGAGAAAGATTTGGGGGGGGGAGTAACCCTGAGGTTAAAACTTAGATGAGGTCACATCCCTTTAAAGTGAGTTGCTGGGTGAGAGCAAAGCTAAAGTGACATGGTGTCTTGGACCAGATGGCCGGGATGTTGTGCTGGACACACTTGGGTGTCAGAATTCGAAGTGTTATAAAAAGTGCTTCTGTTCTCTTAGGGGCCCCGCGGTGCATGGGTCCAATACGCTGTGTCCCCAACCTGCAGCGGATGTCCCTGGGCGCACGGGAGGCTGTTCCTGCCTTGCTCTGTCTGACCGCCCTCGTTTTCCCCTGTTACTGAGCCTGCCCCTCCTGTTCAGTTAACCGTAGCCCACCCTCGATAACCAGAGAGGGACATGCAGGTCACACCAAACTGGCGCTCACCAGAAATAGTCTCTATTTCTCTTCGAAAGACCGCCAGAGCGGAGATGTGTGTAAGAACCTGCCTGCCTTCTGTCACTGGGTCCTCCTGGTGGGCAGGGGGCGGGCTGAGGCGGCGGTGGCACGCCCCCCAAACCGCGCTCGGTCACCGAGAGTGACTGCAGAGGGGACGTGGTGAGGGAAGACTTTTTGATTGCACGCTTTGCCTTGATCTTAAAAATGTTTTGTGTACCCCGTACACACGTGCGTGTGGCTCTTCACCCGTCCAGCACTGGTCCAGCACTGGGCAGCAGGGCCCTCACTGTCAGCGCGCAGCTGGCGCGGGTCCGGGCGGGGCCACTTTGGGGTCGTAGGTCAGAGCTCAGCAGTCCCGTTTGCTTTCGGATTTACTTCAGTAATGATTTTCTAGTAGACTCACATTTTATGTATTTGCACAACAAAGACACACAATTATCTTTGCTTTTTATCAAAATAATTTATGTACATGGAGCAGGGATCATGAATGAAAAAAATCACCACAGCCTCACCCTGTCCCGATCCAGTTTTGTTCTCCAGAGGGGACCATTTTTAACCTGTAAATTTTATCTTCTAACGGTTACGTCCTTATCCCTAAAACAAAACTTGCTTCCTCACGAGTTACTCGTTATTCGTTTGAGACCTGCGGCTGCGATGGCAGCTGCGGAGTCGGCTTATATGCTCCCTCCTCCTCCCTGGGGCTGTGGCAGTCCTAGTGTTCTCTCTGGTCACCTTTGTAACTTCCTGCTTCCACCTTCGTTTCTGACGGTGGCGCCACACACTCTGCTTCTCAATCTTCCACTTGGGGGGAGAGGCCTCTCGGCGCCCCACCCCACCACCCAGCCTGTCCTCCGCGTTGTCAAAGCTGATACTGTCGCACTGTGTTCTGTAGTGAGTGAGTGAGTGAGTAAGACTGTCTGGAGATCGTTGCTCCAAGTGGAGGTCCATTTGTTTACATTATTCCGAACGTGACTGTTACTCACGCCACCGCTTAGTCATGGAGTGTGATCCTGTCACCTCCTGAACAGCCTCTCGTTTCCCTCTGCTCCCCACTGAGCACGTTCCCCTCAGATTCCTGCTGCACTGCTTTGCTGAGTGCTGAACATTAGAAGGAGTCTTAGTGATCCTTAAAACTCGGAGATCACTGGCTGGAAGGAACAGCCCCTCAAGCAAACTAAGCACAAGGAGGGTGTACTGGGAGGGACTCAGCGGCTTGTCAGAGGCAGGCAGGTGGACCCATGCGGGTCCTGGGCAGACGAGAATGAAGGTCACCTTCACTCTACGGTGAGCGCAGGTTGCTGCCCAACTTTATTGGTGTCTCTGCTCAGGACCCCCGCAGGGACCACTGGGGGCCCTGGTCACAATCCCAGGCCTCGGAGCAGGGGTGGCTGGCTTAGTGCTACTGTGGGGTTTGCCCAGCAAGTTCAGGGCTCTCTCTGGTTGTGGTGGGCGGTAGGTAGTATTTGTGCACGAGGCAGGGACTTGTTGGATTGGGAAAATCAGCCCCTTGCGTCATGGGGTGCTCATGGCTTTTAGATCATCTCCCCAGATTTCTGAGTCTCAGTCCACACGATGTAACCCAGGCGTGCTGTCTTTTTTCCTCTCTCGTGTTTGAACAGTGCTGGGAGGAGCCCATGCAAAGCTCTGATGTGGCATTTTCTCCTACTCTTTTCTCTTTCTTCCCAGATTAATTGGGAATCTTGGCTGCTGGAGGATTCTAGTCGAGCCGAACTGCCTGTGACGGACAAGAACGACGACTCCTTGCCCGTGGGAGTCGCCATAGACTACACTAACCAAGTGGAAATCACCATCAGTGAGTGTAGCCCAACAGGGCCCAGCACACTGTCTAACGTTGCAGTCCAGTTCTGTGTGTCCCTGACGGGTCTCCTCTGCTGGGCGCTTTGACCTTCTGGTAGCACGTTGCTTCTTGAAGAGCGACGCAGAGGATCGGTGCCAACACTAATTTGTACAGACACTTAGGGGCGAGGCCGAGGCCGCACACACTCGGTGTCTGTGTGTCTTCTCTGTTTTGGACGTGGCGGAGGTCCAGAACATCGGGGGTTCCCAGTTGTGTCTCTAGGCCCTTTCCGGTCCCCAGGGCCTTCCTTCCCAAGGGAGCAGTGCCCTAGCCGGCACCGTAGAGCAGCTCTGGTTTTGGAGGCGTGGGTTAGAGAGACCCTGGGCAAGTGGCTCCTGCACTGGGCCCGAGTGTGTGCTGTGTACGGAGCCCCTGTGGGCAGAGCTGCGGCCCGAGGACCGTGCCGGTGCAGCAGGAGACGATGCGCTCGGGAGCCTCCGTGAGAGGGGGGTCTCACCAGGTGCCGTTCTGCGCCTTGTCCTCTCCCTGGTCAGGCTACGTGGTCTGAGATTGGCTCTCGTACTCAGACTCTCTTGAATTCCGTGCTTATGATTCAGCTGCGAACGAACACAGAGCAGTCAGACTCACCTGTCTGTCCTGCTGTGTGCTGTCTGAAGAGTCTGGTGTGTCATTTCTCAGTCGCACCAGCCAAGTCCTAGACTCCCGTCTTGGTCAGGGGAGGGCTGCCCCTGCCTCCCGAACACCAAGATGCCCCTAAAACCGGAGGGAGCCTCAGAGCCGCTCCCGGGCTGCCAGCGCCGCCGGACGGGCCAGCAGGACAGCGGCCACCGACGGCAGCAGGAGCTCTCTGGAAAGAGCAGTTGCGGGAGGGCCCAGTGTGAACAGAACCAGAGTAGATGACAGGGCTGTGGCTGGGACGCGCCTCTGAGCCCCTCCTCGCTTCGGGCAGCCTTTCACACCGGGCCCGGCGTGGCCACGCACTTGGCTCTTTTCTCACTTCCGCTTTCTTCTTTTAACAGATGAGGAGAAGACTCTTCCTCCTGCACCCGTTCTTATGTTACTCTCAACAGACGGTGTGCTCTGTCCGTTCTACATGATCAATCAAAATCCCGGGGTCAGGTCCCTCATCAAGACGCCGGAGCGGCTCCCGTTAGAAGGAGAGCGACAGCCCAGGTCGTCGGGTACGACTCTCGTTAATATAAATGTGTTGGTGAAAATACTGCTTTCTTAGTAGCCACTTAACTTAGAGAATTAACGTGTTTACAGCAAGTGTGGAAAGTAGAAAAAACTTTAAACCTGCCTTTTGAGGTATTCTCTTTCACTTCTTTCTCATAAACATCTTGATAGTTCCATTCATATTTTACGTATCATTGGTTGCAGTTTTATCATTTAAATTGTAAGCTTTTTCTAGATACTTACGGAATTTTCATTATTCATTTAAAAGAATGACTGCTTAATATTCCATTGAATACTTTTTACCACTTGGGTTGCATTAAATATCTTTCATTTTCAAAAATTATTTTCATAAGTCTTATTCTTACAAGTTTACTGGGTCTACATTTTATGATATAGGTAAAATTATTTTAAATTTTATTTTAATTGTTCAAGTACAGTTTTCTATCTTTTACTCTCATCCCAGCCTGCCCACCCTAAAATATTTTTTTAAGACTGCTAAATTAGCTGCCTATTAGCAATAAAAGGTTTCAGGTTCATTTTACCCATCCACGTGTAGGAGGGGACAGATATTTAAATGTCGGTAGTCTGGAGAACAATGCTGTGCCTTGGTTCAGTTTACATTTTTTTAAAGATTTTATTTATTTTTAAAGAGAAGGGAGGGGGGAGAAAGAGAAAGAAACATCAATATGTGGTTGTTTGTCGCACAGGCCCAACTGGAGACCTGGCCCACAACCCAGGCATGTGCCCTGACTGGGAATCGAACCTGTGACCTTTTGGTTCGCAGGCCAGTACTCAATCCACTGAGCCACACCAGCCAGGGCTAAATTTACATTTCTTTTATTAGCTTAAATATATTTACTTTTTGTGAATTACTTGCCCAGCTTATATCTATTAGAGTCTTGAAATTTTTAATCTCGATTCCTACACTCTTTACTGCAGATTTCTTTCATTTACCTTTAGGTTATGTTACTTTTTTATATAGTCCGATGTTAATCTTTTTCTTTTGTGATTTATTTTGTCACGTCTAAATTTATTTAAGTTAGATTCTCAAAGACTCAGCTTGCTTCTCGCCTCCTTTGTTTTGAGACATCGTGCATGTATGCTTTTATCTGTGTCTTCAATTCATCCGAACTTGCTGTAGTGACTGTTACGAATCAGAGAGCTGAATTAAAACTTTTCCTGATTGAACGAAGTGTTGCAGAATGACTACTTTTCACTGGACCTTGGGAAGAGTGTCTTTTCCGTGTCGTCCATCCGGGCGTCCACGCACTGCCGTCAGTCAGTCAGAGGTCCTTCCCCGTGTCTGTTCCCCTCCCCAGCCCTGCAGTCTCACCGGGTGTCTGTCTGCCCGGGGACTCGCACAGCAACTCCGAGTCCTTGTTTCTCTTTTCTTCAGGAGCCGGGCCCTTTCTCTCGGGCCTCCTCCTGCTGCACCACCGCCAGCCCTGTGGCCCTGCTAACGTCCCCCGCCCTGCCCCCACTTTCTCATTGCAGGAAGCACTCCCACGACCCCAACCTTGCCAGCCCCACAGAAGCCTGAGTTGTCAGCAGCCGCGGCCCCTGTCTCTGTCCCACCGTCACTGCCAGCGGCTCCCACCTCCACCTTCTCTTCGCCCTCTGCCGTGTTCTCCTTTGGCTCTTCATCGTCCTTGAAATCATCCGGTCCTGTGACTGCGGAGCCCCCTCCGTACCCCAGTGGCTCCGACACTTCCAAAGCAGCTGTGGGCTCCGGCACAGCCACCTTCTCCTTCGCACCACCTCAAGCCCCGCTGGCGCCCACCCCTGCAGCCTCTGCCATGGCACCCACGGCCGCTCCGTTCTCCTTCGGGTCATCGGGCTTTAAGCCGACCCTGGAAAGTACACCGGTGCCAAGTGCGTCCACTCCAAACATCGGGATGAAGCCCTCCTTCCCGCCTTCAGCCTCTGCAGTCAAGGTCAACCTTAACGAGAAGTGAGTGGCACAGCCCCAGGGAGTGGAGTGACAGAGCAGATGGACCGTTGTCATTGTTTTTTTTGTTTGTTTGTTTTTCATTTTCTCCAAAGCAATACTGGCAAATGGTGAAAATTCAAACTGCGTAAAAGGTTTGCAGCTGATCAGTGGACAGTGTCCAGAAAGGTCTCTTAGAGTTTTTTTTATTATTAGAGGTTTATATTTAAATATTTGTTTTACTTCCCAATGTAGGACATACTCCTTGTTTTTAAAAATGAAGTCGCACAGGATCCACACCCCGTGAGGGAAATGCACCTCTCGTAGTCCTTTCCCCAATCGTCTGCCCTTGACTCCCTGGGCCACGTGGGGTCACATGAACTTGCTCTTGCGTCAGATGACGTTCCTGCCCCACAGTCCTGGGGCTTCTCCTCCTGAGCTCACGGTGTCCGGTCCCTCCAGGGCTGAGTCCTCCAGCTCACCCTCCCCTCCTCCCTGTTCGCCTGCATATGTGGCTCCGAGTGAGGGTGCACGCTTCTCTAGGGAAGGGCCCCGCCCCGAGTGGCGGTCACCACTGCCACCGTTGTCACTGTCGATGCTGATTGTCAGCGTCGTTTCTTTCATAGTTGCTTAGTGTTCCGTTTTGTGGCCGCATTATAATTCATTTTCCCAGTCATCTGATGCTGGACATTTACATTGTTTGCAGATGTTTGCTCTTTAGGTGAAACTGGCTTGACATTCCCCCTAGACTGTAAACACCCCAAAGAGGGTGACCTGTTCCTCTTCCTCCTGCACTCCTCAGAGGAAGTGACCACCCCAACACGGCCTGAGTAATTTGGGGGCAAAAAGAGAGTGTAATTGAGTCTCACTTTCTGTTTTACTCGGCTTGATAGACTAGAAAATAAGTGTTTTGTATCATGATAAACTTCGTTTCACTTTCATATCAAGTATGTATTTGATATTTTCATTGAATAATTCATTCCTAAATAAGCGGAAGATCAAATGAATGCTTTCTTTCTTTTAAAGATTTATTTGTTTTTAGAGAGGGTGAAGGGAGGGAGAAAGAGGAGAGAAACATCAGTGTGTGGTTGCCTCTCATGTGTCCCCTACTGAGGACCTGGCCCGCAACCCAGGCATGTGCCCCGACTGGGAATCAAACCCATGACCCTTTGGTTCGCAGGTCGGTGCTCAATCCACTGAGCCACACCAGCCGGATCAGTGTTTTCTCGCAGTTTTCCCCACTTATAAGAAATAGCTAAATGTATACATTTCTCAAAGGGCAAAAAGGGTGGACCGCGAGTTGCCCTGCGATGACCACCCGTGGCCGGCGTGCAGGAGTCCGCAGCAGGCTTTTCTGACGCCTCCGCTCTGCCGTTCGCAGGTTCACCACCGCGGCCGCCCCTGCTTCTGCCGGCGGCTCCCAGGGCACGCCCCCGACGCTGCTGTTCCCCGCCTCCAAGCCAGCTGCCTCCGGACCTCTCGGCCACCCCACGCCCCTGGCAGCAGCGGCCGGCTCCATGGCCTCGAAGTCCCCAACCGCTCCCTTGGTGTCAGGTGTGGTTTTAAGCAGACGGCTTTAGAGCTCAGGCTGAATTCTCAGATTACCTTGTTGGTTTTAAATCCTCACTCTAGGATTTTTTTAATCGATTTTCTAAAGAGAGGGAGGTAGAGAAATATCTGTGTGAGTGACAAACACCGATGGTAGCCTCCTGTACGCACCTTGTCTGGGGGTTGAACCCACGGCCTTCTGGTGCACGGGATGATGTTCCAGCCAACTGAGCCACCTGGTCAGGGGGTGCGTTTAGTTTTTTCAAAAATGTCCCCCAGGTGATTCTAATGCACGAGAGGGTGAGGCTTGCGGGAGAGGCTTCCAGGAGGGTCCAAAGACCCTGTGAGTTCTTGCAAGGTGATGGGGATTATTGTCCTCATTTTGTGGTTTTCAAACTGTCCCCAGTCCCCAGTGGGGCCTCGGGAGCCTCTGGGGAATAAGGATGGGCCGAAGGACAGACGTCCTGCCCTGCCCACAAGGACACCTCCCCATTCCCAGAGACGCCCCAGGTTCGTCTGCTGTGCGAAAGGTGCTCGCGTCAGCAGGTGTGGTGTGCATTTCCATTGTGTTGGGACAGCGCTGGCACAGCTGGGGACAGCACTCAGGCCAGCAGAGTTCCTGAGAGGGGTGGGCAGTGAGAAGCTTTTTTTGATGAGAGGAGGCCCCTTGTGACGGGAGGAGCAGCGGGCACAGCTGCTGTCTGTCCTAACTGGCGTCTTCCTCCGGCAGGGCGCGCTGCTCATGGCAGTCCGGGCCCGGCGCCCTCAGCGGGGCAGAAGTCACCCAGGATAACCCCTCCGGTGGCAAAGTCAAGCTGCCCCCAGGTGCGTTTAACCTCAGCTTCCAGTCCTGTGCTTACTAATTTACTGCCCCAAATGGACATGTTCATGAAATGGGACTTTGTGTTTTAGAGTTTACATTTTTGAAATGGGACTTAGGACAGTGTGACAGGAAATACATGAATTTTGAATATTTGTAGTCCATGCCGGTTAAAGCCATTTCTGTCCACTCCGGAGCCGCTGCGTTACTGTCCCTGCCGGCTCCTGGGCCCGTGCGCACTGTGCCGTCGGTGGGTTGGGTTCTCCTGACGCTCACAAATACTGGGCATCCAACTTGCTTCTCTGACGCTCAGAGTCACCAAGAAATCCATCTAGTGCGCTCTTTCCTTACCATCTCAGCTTATTGTATTTAACCTTTACTGACATACAGTACGCGTAGGGAGAAAGTACACACAGCTCAGTGATTGGTTGTCAGCGAGACACCCCTCGGTAGCCGACACCGAGATGAGGCAGTAAATGTGACCAGGACCCAAGAATTCCACTCGTGTGCGTCCTTCTAGTCTCGCCAGGCGGGACTCGGCTGTTGTGGTTCCTCACAGTGCAGCTCCGTGCAGCCTGTCTGCGCCTTCTGTAAATGGAGCCTCACGGTGCGTGTCCTTTCAACTGGCTGCGTGCTCAGCACTGTGTGCATGAGGTTTATCCACATCATACCGGGTGACGATGCAACCCGTGTGCCTCCCACCCCTGATGGACGCTTGAGTAGCTTCCAGGTTCAAGTTACTGTGAATAGCGTTGCTGGTTGGTTTTTCAGTGAAGAGGTGTGTGCATTTCTGTTGAGCGGATACCTAGAGTGGAACTGCTGGGTCACTGAATATGCGTTTACTCCTCCTCAGTAAATTCCCAGGAGGGCCTGACTCGGGGCTTGGGGGCATTCTTAACGCTCTTGCCTTCCATTTCAGGCAAAGTCACTTCCTCCCCCTGTCACAGAAAAGCAGGGACATCAGTGGGAAGAGTCAGACCCTGTGATGGTCGGAATTGGTGAGGAGGTAAATTTGCTCCTGCGTGTTTTCTCAAGATGTAGCCCCGACAGGGGGACTTGACTGGCTCTGAGTGTGTAGACCTCAGCGGGATAGTCTTTTGTTTTTTGTTTTTTTATCCTCACCTGGGGACATGTTTATTGATTTTAGAGAGAGAGGAAGGGGGAGAGGGAGAGAGAGAGAAACATCAATGTGAAAGAAACATCAGGTGATTGCCTCCCGCACGGGCCCCAACTGGGGATCGAACCCTCCACTTAGGTGTGTACCTTGCGTGCAGATCAAACCCATGACTGCTGTGACGCACGGGACGGTGCTCCAACCATTCGAGTGCCCTGGAAAAGTCCCTACATGACTCTTACTCTGGCGTTGAACCTTGGCGTGTCCCAAGAGTCCCTGCTGTTAGCGAGCTCAGTAGCAGTGACACGCTTCTGCTGTGCCTCAGACTGAGAGGTCTCCTTGTGCGGCTTCTGCAGATCACGCACTTTCAGAAGGAGCTGGAAGACCTGAAGGCCCGCACTTCAAAAGCCTGTTTCCAGGTGGGCACCTCCGAGGAGATGAAGATGCTGCGGACAGAAGCGGATGACTTGCACACTTTTCTTTTGGAGATCAGGGAGACCACCGAGGTTCGTGTTTATCGGTAGTCCTCCGGGGTTGAAGCCACTGCTGGCCGTGTGCCCCCCTGGTCTGCGTGCACACCCTTACTTCTTCAGGGACCACCAGGGTTGTTTCTCACAGTGTGCATCATTCATGCAGGAGTGCTGAGGTTCAGGTCTTGCCTTTAGCACTTAATAAATTAGGTGACTTTGGGCAGGTCAGTCTAGCTACTGCGTTTAGTTTTCTCGTGGAAAATGAACTATAATAGTTTCCACCCATTGACACTTACAAGGTACACAGTAAATATTGAACATCGGTTTTGGCATATTCGAAGTTTGCTTTTATACTAAATTGTTAGGTTACAGTAAAGTCTGGTTTTAAAGAAAGCAGACACGTAAGACCATGTATAGTATAAAAACACCAAACAGTTCTTGTTGGTAGGAGTATTGGTCATGTTGCTGTTATTACCACTCACCGTGCACCAGGCACTGCGCTAAACCCTTTACCTCTGTTGGCTCCCTGAAGCCTCGCAACTGTCGTCCTGTGTAGTGGCTACTCGACTGGCTCTGAGTGCGTGGCCGTAAATCGTTCCTACTTTGCAAGCCTGGAAACAGGCTGAGAGGTGACGTGATGCGCGCAGAGCCCTCGTTACTGGGCGCAAGCTCCAGGGTCCCATTCAGGACCACGGGGCTGCTGGGCTCTGGTTCTGACGTTAGTGCTTGACGGAGGAAGGCTCTCCGGGCGTGGGCCGTGATTGCCCTCCGTTCGTAGGGTCTTGGCTGCCATCACTGCTGCTCTTACTCCGAGCTTCCTGTCCCTAGAAATGAGGAAGGAAAATACTGTTTTTAAAGTGAATATTGGTAGACTAAAAACCGGAACATTTAAAAAACAAGAAAAAGATAAAAATGAACATAGGTATCTTTCTCCCTACGCAGGGAAGTTCTTCTTTTGCCTGACTGTTAACTGTATTCAGAGGTCTGTCATGTTAACTGTTCAAGGAGCGCAACCTTCCTTGATCCAGAACAGAAAGGTTGATTTCTTAGGAGTAACCCCTCGTGTCACCGCACCCTCCCCTAGTCTCTGCATGGCGACATAAGCACCCTGAAGACCACCCTGCTGGAGGGCTTCGCTGGGGTTGAAGAAGCCAGGGAGCAGAACGAGAGGAACCACGACTCTGGGTACCTGCACTTGCTCTACAAGAGGCCCCTGGACCCCAAGAGTGAAGCTCAGCTCCAGGTAGGGTCCAGCGCGAGCGTGCGGGTAGCAGGCCCCTGGGCTGTCCCCCTGCTCCAGGCGTGAGTTCGGGCGGCTGCCTCACGGGTCGTTTGTTTTCTGTGAGTGACTTACCTGCTTCCTATAGACTTCTGTAGCTGCCACAGAGGAAATGGAGTGCTTTTTGGGTTAAACAAAAATAGAATTCTTCGTTCACCCCTCAGCTTGGTAGAAAATAGGCTGTTGAAAAAGACTCACTTAGAAATCAAATCACGAGTAATAATTATTAAAGTGGCAGGTACCCATTTAGCACCAGGAACTCTGCTCAGCGTTTTTTACTCATTATTTCTAGTCTTCAAAACTAACTGCCCTGTGTGACGGTGGTTTCTGACCCCGTTACACAGATAAGGAAGGTGAGCCTCACAGGCTAAGGAGCTTGTCCGGGGAACAGCAGTGGTAGGAGCGGAACCAGAGTCGAGACCGCCCCAACCCGGGTTCCCATTGTAGCAGCGCTGCGTGTCTCACGCTCCATTAGTCTTGTTTTCTGTCTTCATGAAATCTGCGTTTGTTTCCGTCGTTCCACTTATTCCACATTCACACCACGAGCTCTGGTGGCGGTCATCTGCCACTCGCTTGCATTCGCAGAGACTCCTGTGGGGAGGGGCCCAGGGGGCCATGCCGTTCATCCTCACCCAGGGCTCGAGGGCCTGTGAGTGTGCGGAGTCCCCTCCTGCCCAGACACGCACCACCTCCTCGGCCAGCGCCTGATAACCTGATGGGCAGGGAAACCGGAGGAAACAGCTCCTCCTCCCAGAAAGGCCGAGGCCCCTCGCAGGGTCCCCCAGCCCTGGTGCTGTTCCTAGGTGCTTCCTCCCACTGTGGGCGGGACTCGCTCAGCGGGCAGCCCCGCCCATCGGATTGCAGCCTCGAGTTGCATCGAGTTACACTTTCTTCTGACTGCCTTTTCTCCTCTTGCTCTGTGTCCAAAGAACAGCATGCTGTTTTTGGGTGGCACTCCCCATTCAAAAGGGAGTCATTTTCTTCTTTCACGGTGCGAAATAGACCACAGTAGCTAGCATTTGTTGAGTGCATGTCATGTACAAAAGGAAGGTGCCCAAAGCACTTGAGTCTCACCACTAATAGATGCTGGACCCTTGAGCCTGGATGGTCTGGCCCCGAAGCTGGTGCTCTTAACCCCGTCACTACCACTTGCAGGTCCTGCCACTGTGCATGTGGCAGAGGGACAGGTGACCACACGAGTGCAGTGCGCAGCTGGCAGGGTGGCAGGCGAGGGGGTAGCTACGCCACAGAAAAGAGGTGGTGGTAAGCGGCCTGGAGAGAACAGTTTTTTTCTCGGAGATGACGTTGGGAGAGCATCCAGAGGAAACAGCATCAGCCGCTGTGCAGAAGTCTGACTGCGTGCGGGCGTTCAGAGGCGGGGCCTCCCTGTTGCCGAGTGTTAGTTGAGAGCCACATTTGGTGCTCATCGGCCTGGCCCTCTTTAAATGACACTTTCCCTCTTTCGGTCGGGGCCTGTGCCCGTCCTCACCCCAGAATGGTTGTGAAAGTACACTCACACAGTGAGGTCCTCGTGCAGGTGCGGGGAGCTTGCCTGGCGTGTGCGCAGTGTCTTCTTTGTGTGCATAGTCAACAGACCGCTTCACCCTTGTCACTGGTGGTTGAAAGTCAAGTTGTATTGCCATGGAGGTTAACACTGGACCACAATTTAAAGAAAACTGTCACAGGCTTAAAATAAGTCCATGTGTAAGAATTTTAATAACGAGAAGTTCAGTTTCTAGTGCTGATACTATTCTTTGTTTTCATGATGAAATGAGCTTTTCTCAATTGATGAGATGACTGCTGTGTTCTGTGTTACGAATAGATGGGGTCAGAATGATTTTCAGTGCTGTTTCGTAGGGTAGTTTTGTCTGTCTTATGGTCAGTGTCATGAATGGGAGAGCAGAAGCTGAGTGGGCGCTTTGTCAGAGGACAGGGCACAGTGGAAAATTCCTAGACCGCGCTGGGACACCTCAGAGGAGCTGGAGAGCGAGAACCGAGCCGGGGCATCTGTTCCCCGGAGGCCCGGGCCGGCCGCCCGATCTGTTTCTGTGTCTCTGCCCCACCTTCTCCGTCACGCCCTAGGTGGGTGCGGATTGTAACCTGCTGGCCGTTATACTAAAGCCTAGCGTGTGTTGTTCGTTATGGTTCTCAATATAAAAATTCAGAATTATTTTGACTGGTTTTTTTTTTTTGACTGTTTCGATATAGCTTCCCCTGAGCCCCTGGAAAACTGAGTCACTTTTATTTTTCATGTAGGAAATTCGGCGCCTTCATCAGTATGTGAAGTTTGCTGTCCAGGATGTGAACGACGTTCTCGACCTGGAGTGGGACCAGCACCTGGAACAAAAGAGAAAGCAGAAGTGAGCATGCGCTCGTCCCCGCGGGTGGCAGCAGGCAGCGCCGTGGCCTTTCCAAAGACGGTGTAGGAGCCTTGATAAAAAACCCCGCGGTGTTCTCACTGACCCAGCCTTTCAGCTTCCAGTATTTATTTTACATAAGTAATAGCAGTGCTCACAACAATTTACATGGGAGGATTCATATTACAGCCCAGCTTATGATAGTGAAACTTGGGTTGCACCTCCTTGCCCACAAGTTAGAGGACTGGCTCAGGAAGTCTGGTCACTTCTTTCTCTTAATCCCGACATAACCATGGACTGGTGTGTCCTCAACATATTTTTCCATTACATACATGAATGTACTGCAAAACACGCAACGACACCAGGTTATCACATACCACCTGTGAAATGGGGATGACGTGAAAACCGGGTGATCCCACAACGCACGTCTGAGCACAGAAAAGAGGCCGGGGGTGACCCTGTCAGACACAGGTACAGCTGCAAGGTGGCTGAGAGGGATCTTTTTCTTTCTGAGTTTTTGTGTATTCCAAGTTTTCTCCTCAAGGAGACGTTTCTGATTAGTGCCCTCGTTAGATGATGTCAGAGGTGTTGTCTAATGAGGCGCAGCGGGAAGGAGTGGGAGGCAATGTGCTGTGGGAGCGCGAAGGTGCCCACGAGAGATCCAGGGCACAGGTCAGCCTGCAGAACGCGTGGTTTTTTAAACTCCTCCACTTGGTGAGTGCAGTGAGCTGTGTAAGGAAACAAGCCAAGAGGTGATCTGCTTGCTTATGTATAGGCTGTGGGGTTTTAAGTGGGGCGACCTGAGTGTGATGTCGGGAGCACCAGAGTGTGTGCAGTGTTCAGTGAGAACTTAGCACGTCACCTGCACCGCGCGGAGAAAGGCTCTGGGCCCAAGCCGAGGAACCTCAGCTTGGAACCAGGGTGGGGGGCAAGGGGTGAGCGCTGACCCCTCGGACACGGGTTGGGCAGGTTCTCGTGCCTGTGCCTGGAGCACCTGTCCCCTTACACACTTGGACCCCGTCAGAGATTTCACAGTTCGCCCACCCTGGTTCTGAATTCATGTTCAGCCGCATGCGGGAGGTGGCCTGACCTGGCAGCGTGTCCATTCTGCCCTGCTTGACCGTTCGATTTCTCTTTGCTAACTTAAAAGTTGGACTTTTTAAAAAAATGCGTAATGAAAACACAGAAGCCCAGCTTTCTTTTCCTTTGTGACAGTTCCACGCACTTACTACGTCATAAGCTTTTTTAGTTCCCTTTCTGCAGAGTTCAGATTCTTAAACCTGCACAATTTTCTTGCGTTTCTGTGTTTGAGTGTTTTTTTTTCTCTGCTGCTTTCAAGAGTACTCTCTTTTTTTTTCCCAAAGATTTTATTTATTTATCTTTAGAGGGGAAGGGAAGGAGAGGGAGAGAAATGTCAATGTAGGGTTGCCTCTTGTGTGTTCCTTGCTGGGAACTGGTCTGCAACCCAGGCATATGTGCCCTGACTGGGAATCCAACCGCAATCCTTTGGTTCGCAGGCCCGTGCTCAATCCACTGAGCTACACCAGCCAGGGCTCAAGAGTACCCTCAATCCACTGAGCTACACCAGCCAGGGCTCAAGAGTACCCTCTTGAATGTATCTTAACTCCTTATCGCCTGGAAGAAAGGGAACAGTCCCCGTCTTACTTTAGTTCTTCGGGTGGTCACGCGCTGTTGCCAGACGGCTGGTTGTCCCACTGTCTCAGCAGCACCGTGAAGAGGGGACTGACTCCCGTCGACTTGCACTGAGCCCTGGGCTGCTGCCTTTTACTGACCATTATTTACACACAGGAAAACACACGTGTCCTAAGTGCACACCTGAGCGAGTGTGTCCTTTAGTGTAGCCTGGTCTCTAGCCCCTTTCTACCCCGAAGCCTCTCTGGGGTTGTGCCTGATGATGCCTGCGTCCTGGCCTTCCCTCGTTGCCTCTCACCCCTTTGTCACCTTCTAGTAATTTCTGGATGCCTTTTGTCCACTAGTGGTTCTGTTTGGTTCTTTTCACTCCCCTCCCACCCCCTGTGAGAGGGTTCTTCACTCAAACTGCTCACGGTGAGTTCTTTTCTCGTTACTGTCAGCAGGCGCCTGCTTGTGCCGGAGCGAGAGACACTGTTTAACACCCTGGCCAACAACCGGGAGATCATCAACCAGCAGAAGAAGAGGCTGAACCGCCTGGTGGACAGCCTCCAGCAGCTCCGGCTGTACAACCACACTCCCCAGTGGGGCCTTCCCTCGGACGTCTCCCCCCAGAGCAGCACGCACAGGTGTGCCTTCAGGTGTGGCCGGGCGAGTGTGCACTTGGGAGTAGGGCGGAGTCGTCCTGAAGTGGTCCACACGTGGGTGTGAAAAGACTGCTGTCTGACCCTGGTTAGGTTCCTCACCCTCTCCTGCCCTTTGTTCCTTTGCTTTTTAAATTTTTTTAGGTTTTTATTTTTTTTAGAACGTGGGGAAAGAAGGGAGAGAAACATCCATCGGTCTGGGGACCTGACCCGCACAGCCGAGTGAGCCCTCGCCAGGGAGAGGACCCTTCGGTCTTCAGGCCGGTGCTCAGTCCAGTGAGCCACACCTGTTCCTTTGCTTAAAAAATGGGGGTAAGAGCCTCGCCTGGTGTGGGTCAATGGATTGAGTGCCAGCCTGCAACCTGAAAGGTCACGGGTTCGATTCCCAGTCGGGGCACATGCCTGGGTTGTGGGCCAGGTCCCCAGTTGGGGGTGTGTGAGGGGCAACTGGTTAATGTCTCTCGCACATCAGTGTTTCTCTCCCTCTCTTTTCTCCCTCCATTTCCCTCTTTCTAAAAATAAATTTTAAAAATCTTTTAAAAAAATAGGGATATGTGCTCATGGCATTGTTGGAGAGTTAAGTCTAGAAAGTTCCTATTGTGTGTGATGAAACGGTTGCTCAGTAGGTGACAGCAGACACGCGTGACAGTCATATTTTTGAGAATTGACTGATGGGATTAGGTTGACTTGGCTCAAAGCTGAGATCTGTCGTTTGCTTGAGTGTGGAGACTTGCGGAGCCTGGCCGGTAGACGCTTACCCTTGAAGTCCCCGAGGTGGTTTTGTGTTTCCCTGAAGCCCAGGTGTGTCTGTTCTAAGCTCCCCGTTCTGTGAAGCTCTGTTGGTGTGTCTGCCGTGTGGGTGGTGCTTACGCCGGGGTCGCCCCATCTTCGGGTGGATCACGTGGACAGGTCGGCTTGCCCGTTTCCGCAGACGGGGCGCTCTCCTCTCCTGCATCTGTGTTCAGAACGTGCACCCAGCAGCCCTCGGGTTTCCTGGGCGTGGCTGGTCTGTAGGTAACACTAGCTGATTTCAGTTTTGACAGCGACCTGGAAAGCCTGCGCAATGCTTTATTGAAAACCACCATCGAGTCCCACGCCAAACCCTTGCCAAAGGTTGCAGGTAGGTGCATCCTTCCCAGCCCTTTAACTCTTTGGTCCCTTTCATTTGCAGACCAGATTCGAAGCATTTATGGGTTCATGCATTTCTTGCAGCTAAACTGTCTCCTGTGAAACAGGCTCAGCTGAGAAACTTTCTGGCCAAGAGGAAGACCCCGCCGGTGAGATCCACGGCTCCAGGTACAGGGCGCCAGTCCTGAATTTCTCGGTGGAAACCACCCAGCACAGGGCGTGGGGTGGGTGTGTGTGTGTGTGTGCACGCACACGCTCCTTCCAGCTCTTACTGGGGAAAATGTCGTCACAATCTGTCGTCCACCTGAGTACCGGAGTAGGAAGCTGCTACTGCTGCGTCTCAGCCACGCAGCACGTGTAGTCGCTGTGCTTTCGGGGCAGGCGTCTGCGGTCCCCGGGTTGTGGGGCAGTGGCGCCTGAGGCTTCAGCCTGCTGAGCTGGGTCCACAGAGCGGAGCTGCTGCTCTGGAAGCTTTTCTGAGTCCTGTGTGGTTCGGAACAAGATGGTTTTTGAAAAAAGGCTTCTTTTTTTAGAGAAGGTAGACAGTAGAAAAACCCACTGATTAGGAAATAGTATCCATATAACTAGTGGAAAAAACTTGGTTTTGCTGGTAAATAAACCAGATAACTACCTGAATTTCCTTTTCTATAGTGTATGTTATGTATAGCTTCCAGCATACTGTGGCTTTGCTTTAGTGCCCATATCCGCTCCTTTTTTAAACTTTGTTTGGGTTGAAATTGTTTTTTTCTTATACCAACAACAAATTCTTTTTGTTAATTGAAATAACAGAAGAAATTTAATCTTGTACCACAAGTCATTTATTTCTCTGTAATCATATAAAGTTAAATTAGCTAAGTAATAGTCACAGACAAGTGAAATTTTTTAATAACTTTTTTCATTATCTGAAGAGTACCTTCTCTTGATAATTGGAAAACATGGAAAAAATTAAAGGAACATAAAAACTACTCTTGTACATCAACCCAAATATGTTATCAGTTATCTCATTTTGGTTTACTCAGACTTTTTTCCTTACATATGTAAATTTAATTTTTGAATATGAGGTTGAGACTATTAATTTATAACCTTACTTGCAAGCTTTACTATAAAACAGAAAATGGCAGGTGTTGGCCAGGCCGTGGACAGGTCGGAGCCCTGCGTGCTGACCGCAGGAAAGTGAGGCAAGACAGCACCGTGGGCAGCGGCCGGTGGCTGCTCGAAAGAGCTGAGTGGGCACTGCGTGTGCCGCAGCTGCAGGGCTCAGGCAGGGTCCTGCGCGCCCAGGGTGGTGGCCGCGTCATCCACGGCAGCTGAAGGCAAAGGCAAGCCCGACACCCACAGCCCGGGAGCCAGAGGCAGAGTGGGGTGTGTGTGTGTGTCCTCACCGGGAGGAGGCTGTGGCACACGCCGCAGATTCATAGACACGGCAAGTAGAACGGTGGCGGCCAGGGGCCGAGGAAGAGCAGACTGGAGGGTTACGGGGCAGAGTTTCCGTTGGACAAGATGGAGAGGGTTCTGGAGACGGGCGGCGGTGGCCCGGCACCGTGAGTGTGCAGAGCACCAGTGAATACACACTCAGAAATGGTCATAGCAGTCAAGGTTGTGTTATGTGTATCCTACCACAATAAAAAACTGGGGGAAATTCTTAAAGATTAAAGCGGTTTCATGAGCCTTTTTCTGCCTTCTGTTTTTAAATATTCTTTGAACACTTGCCTTTGTAATGATTGCACAGTGTTTTCCTGTGTAAGGAGGCCATGATTTACTTAATCTGGTCCCTGTCGTCAAGTGTCAATGTTATTGCCAAGATTTTACCCAGAAATTTTTGTTTGCAAATCTTTAACCACATCTCCGAATGTATCTTTATTACGGATTCCTTAGAAGTGAGATTTACGTAACTTAATTGCTCGTTCAGCAAATACGATTGCTCCCTTTGTTTCAAACTGGTAAATAAGAAAGATGGCCTCTGACCACACGGGTTTTTATTAAGAGGGGAGCACCGACATTAAGGGGACAACCCAGCAGGAGGGCATACAGTGTGAAGAGTGACCTGGCCACGAACAGTCCTGACCTGTCCGAACCGGGAGCTGCAGCACACACAGTGCGTGACAGACAAATGTCCGTCGTGTGGCCCCTGCCTGGGTTAAGAAACGTAACTTCGTCGTGGCTGACTCCCTGCGCCCCCTCTTGTGCACCCCCAGTCTCCTGCTCCCCAGAGGGACCACTGTGTAACATACGACAGTATGCCTTTGCTTCTGGTTTTTTTTTTGACATTTAAAATTTGTACTGTTTTGAACATTTTTCAACCCCCAGCTGCTAGAATAGTGCACAAGTGCTCTTTAACCCGCACCCGTGTTCCCCGTACTGTTGGCCACAGTCGCTTCCCTTTGGTCCCCCCTCCCACACGGGCACCGCTGTTTGTTCCCACAGACTGTTGGAAAGCGAGCCGCTTGGGACCCCTTGACTCCGGGCGTCCAGGCACGTGCCCTCTCAGCGCAGTCGTGGGGACAGTGGCAGGTCTGGGGAAGCCGACCGCAGGAGAGCGAGCGCTGCTCTCTGGAGTGCGGTCCTCCCTCACGGTTTCCCTCTTACGTCCTGCACAGCTGCTCTTCTTTAAAATCTGGGACCCAGGCCAGGATTGTCCACTGGCTGTTTCTCTACCGACAGTGAAAATTGGCGCTTTTGGACTGCTTCGTTACTGACTTGAGTTTCATTTTGGGCTTCGCAGCCAGCCTGTCTCGGTCAGCCTTCCTGTCTCAGAGATACTACGAAGACTTGGATGAGGCCAGCTCAACGTCATCCGTCTCCCAGTCCCTGGAGAGTGAGGACGCACGGACACCCTGCAGAGATGACGACCCGGGGGCCCAGGTCCCGCGGCACGCCCCCGTGGTCCGCACGCCCTCCATCCAGCCCGGCCTCTTGTCCCAGGCGGCAGCCCCTTTCGCTAAAGCCCACCTGAGTCACGGTTCGCCTGGCGTGATGGGGGCTTCAGGTGAGGAAACACGAGACGGGCACCTCCGTTTTCCCCATGAGGTTTGAACTCAGGGAGGAACCGTAACTGGGTTTCGTACTACCACACCACCACGGCGTTGGTCCCGGCCCAGGCCTGCCGATGATCGAAAATTCAAAGACTAATTCCCAAGAGGGGCACTTCGCCGTGGAAGCAGTCGGTAGGACACCGTGCAGGAGCCCGAAGGCGCACACTGTCACGGCTTTCTTGCTGAGTCCAGCTTGTGTTCTGTAAACAGATCTTCTCAGGAGTAACGGGAGGAGCTGTTTGCCTCAGTGTGAAGCAGCGCCCACTCCCATGCCTGGCACATCCGCGCCCGTTTCAGCCCGCCGCTGAAGCCGTGCTCGTCGTCGGCGTGGGCTTGCCGAAGTGGTGCGCCCTGCGCTGTGCTGTGACCCCTGTAGTTGAGGGTGCCAGGGCTTTGCAGCGCAGCGGGTTCTGACTGCAGACAGCGTGCGGCAGTGGGTTGGGGAGATCCGTGGGAGGGGAGCAGGGAACTGATCGAGCGGATCCGTGTCGGCGTAAAGGTTGCGTCTTAATCAGCGTCAGCGGGAGGATCGTGTAAAGCAGTGGTTTCAACCAGTCGCCATGAGGATTTCTGAGAAATACAGTGCCTGACTGTTCAGTCAGGGGCACGGACCTCTTTTCCTGTAGATTGTAATAAAACAGTGACAACAGCCGAGACAACAATAGCCATCCATGTGAATGAATCAAAATTGTACCTATTTTGCGGGTCAGGAAATACATTTTTTGGTGTGCTGCAGAAGCGGTGGTCATTAGTTCACGTGCTGCGGGTACTTCAGTTACCCTGCTACAGCAGGTGGGCGGGCAGGCGGCATGCGGCAGCTTTGAGAGGCCTGGGTGCAGCCAGCCTGTTACTGGTACTTTTTTTTTTTCTTTAAAGAGGGACAGAAACATCAGTTGGTTGATAGTGAGAGAGACATCAGTTGGTTGCCTCTCACAGGCCCCCAACTGTGGGGGAGGCCTGCAACCCAGGCAGTGCCCTGACCAGGAATGGGACCGGTGACCTTTTGATTCGCAGGCTGGCACTCAGTCCACTGAGCCACACCAGCCAGGGCTGTTACTGGTACTTTTCTATGTTCATGCTTGAGGATGATTTCCCTGAAACGTAGCGTGGAGAATTGACCGTTTTAATGTGTGTTTTCCTTTTCTGACCCGTCATCTCATTTAATCTTTCTGTTTCCTTCAGTGTCTACGTCTGCTAGCAAAATTCTCCCTCAAGGGGCTGATAGCACAATGCTTGCAACCAAAACGGTGAAGCACGGTGCACCGGGTCCCTCCCACACCATCCCAGCCCCCCAGGCGGCCGCCGCGGCAGCGCTGAGACGGCAGATGGCCAGTCAGGCGCCAGGTGAGAGCTGGAGCCCCCTCCCCCAGTGCAGAGGCGGGGGGCAAGCTGTGCGTGTCACCGGCCAGGGCAGCAGGTGCCCGTGAGCACCTGGCCCTCTGCTGCTGTTTAGAAGAGAAGGCGGCTGCAACAGCTGTCTGTCCAATCTGGGGAGAGTCTCGAGAAAGCAGAAAGTAGGCCTGAAGCTGTTTCCCTGTGGAGGGGGAGGTGTCAGGTCTGCACATTGAGGTGAGGAGGAAATCTGGTGTTCAGATGACCTTGTTGGTCCCTCCATCTGAATAGTGTCTGCTTTATGCGCAAAATTAAGCTTTGCAATTTGATCAGCTAATAACAGATCGTCTTAAGGTGTCGTGAGGATCTCCACTGCCCTGGGAGGTGGGTGTTAGAGGGCCCCGTTTGATTTGGAGTGATGTGGGGTTCAGAGACAGGAAGGTCACCGGGCCAGTAAGAGCAGAACCCAGACTCCGACCCTGGGTCTTTCTGCTGCAACACAGCTGCTTCGTAGGGTGGCCCATGCGGCCTTTACAGATGGGACTCTGAGGAGCACTTGCCTTTTGTCCTTGGTCTGCGGTTTTCCAGGTTGTCGGCAGCAGAACCTCAGTCACCGCCGGTCCGAGTTTGTGCCGGCCAGTGGTTTCGCCTGCCCCTCCCCCACAGTCAGCAGTGTTGGGGGAAGAAGTCAGGAGTGCTACAAAAAATTTTTTTAATATATTTTATTTATTTATTTTTAGAGAGAGGGGGAAAGGAAGAAGAGAGAGAGAGAAACATCAATGTGTGGTTTCCTCTCATGTGTCTCCTACTGGAGACCTGGCCTGCAGCCCAGGCCTGTGCCCTGACTGGGAATCGAACCTGTGACCTTTTGCTTCACAGGCCCACGCTCAATCCACTGAGCCACACCAGCCAGGGCTGTGAGTTTATTTTTATAACTATTTTTTGCACATGGTGGTCAAAGTTTATTAAAGCATCGTTAAAAAGGCATCATTACTACTACAGCTGGCAGCAATTTACATTTTACCTCACGGTAGCAGTTTTCAAAGAAAAAGTAAAAGGACATCACAACAAAGAAAAAGACTACACTTACGAAGTCCTGTAAACTTCAAGGCCAGTTTAGAGGTGAGGTAATGCTACTTTAGCTTTGTGACTTTAACAAAGTCCTTTAATTTTTTTTAAAGATTTTAATTTTACTTATTTTTAGAGAGAGAGAAAAGAAAGAGACAGAGAGAGACAGAAACATTAATGTGTGGTTGCCATTTGCACGCCCCCAACTAGGGACCCAGCCTGCAGTCCGGGCATGTGCCCTGACTGGGAATCCAACCGGCGACCCTTTGGTTCGCAGGCCCGCGTTCAATCGACCGAGCCACACCAGCCGGGGTCTTTCATTTTAAAAAGGTCCCCAGTTCCCTGTTCCCTCTCTGTGTGTTCACTACTCACTCTGTGTGATGGAACCGTAGTTCTGTGCGGCAAGTACCCTCCCAGCAGGTCAGTGTCCAGAGGGGCCCTCCACATGCCGGTGCTCGCCCCGGGGCAGAGAGGGGATCTGTGTGGGTGCAGGTGTGGGGGCCCCTGCAGTCGGACGGGGAGACAAGTGAGCAAACGCGGTGCACGCGGCACCTTTCGTCCTGACCTTCACAGCAAAGGAGTTAAATAGGTAACGTCACACCTCCACGGAGCAGCACTTCCTTCCATCGCGGCCCCTCAGTTACAGATTGCTCTTTCTATAATACGGGTGGCAGAACAAGAAAAGGGAGGGGGAGCATTACGTAAACTTCCTTTGAAAGACTGGATTCCCCTGCACGTTCATCTGTCCTGGGTGCCACAAAGAGCGCCCTGCGCAGTGCCTTGTGACGCACCTGTGGCACGCAACTGTGGGGCTCTTTTGTCTTTGCTGCAAAAAAATCTGACAGTGCGCAGGGCTCCCCACAACAGAGGGTTATCCAGCCCCAAGATGTCAGTACTGTTGAGGAACTGCTCTAAGGCAGGTATTTTTGTTGTAGCTAAATAAAATTATTTTTCAGTTTTATCGCTGTTCAGATTATAAGACGAAAAAGACGTGGCTTGATTTAGACAGAAAAGAGTTACTGTTATACAGCCCTGGCTGGTGTAACTCAGTGGGTTGAGCGTGGGCCTGCAAACCACACGATCGCGGTTCGATTCCCAGTCAGGGCACATGCCTGGGCTGCCAACCAGTTCCCAGCAGGGGGTGCACAAGAGACAACCATACATTGTTGTTTTTCTCCCTCTCTCCTTCCCTTCCTCTAAAGATAAATAAATTTTAAAAAGAATTATTATTATTATAAAAGATTATATGATAAAAGATTTCTCAGAAAATATTAAAATCTTTATCAAGGCATCTAAAACAGATATGAGCCCTGGCTGGTGTGGCTCAGTGGATTGAGCACTGTCCTGGGAACCAAGAGGTTGCTGGTTTGATTCCTGGTCAGGGCACATGCCTCGGTTGCAGGCCAGTTCCCCAGCTGGGGGCATGCAAGAGGCAACCAATCAGCGTATCTCTTGCATATGGTGTTTCTCTCCCTCTTGTTCTCCCCCCTTCCTCTTTCTAAAAATAAAGTAGATATGAAAGAGCACAAACAAGATAACTGCAAGGTACCTTTGGGCCTTCTGAAAGAATAGAAAGCTTTGATGTTTCCTTTAAATATTACTTGGACCAAGCAGAATCGTGGCATTGTGCTGAACAGGCTCAAAATCACACTGATAGAGTTGATTATTTATAAACTGAAAATCTGCCAGAATTTGTGGTCATTCCACTCTCAGCAGGAGGCGGTGTGATCTCTTATCATTTTGGAAGCAAAAATTTCTAAGGTGTAGGCACCTTTGAATGAGAAAGACAAAGAACGTGCAGACGTAGGCAAGAAGTCCTGGATGCCTCTCTGAAGGGGGAAGGAGAGCAAGCTGCTGCCGATCCGCCAACCGCCCAGGCTGCAGCTCTCAGTGTTGTCAGGTACATAGTCAGAAGAGATCCGAGAGCTTTGCTCAGCCTTCTTAATAGTTCATCATAAAATACCCAGCTTTGGAATACAGCGTTAGATGGTAAGACACAAAACAGCAGATGTGAGAGCTGACGAGCCTGAGACAGGTGAGCACACGGCAGAAGAATCCCGGCCGCCCATCCTCAGTGCAGCCTCTGGGCCTTCCTCCGTTCTTGTCCAGGCCCCACTTGCCTCGTTTTGTGCATCGTGTCGGTCTGAGCCGGGAGCTCCTGTGGAAAAGACACTGTATCTTAGGCAGTTTCTGTGTTCCCAGCACCCAGCAGTCTGGCAGTGCAAAGCCCGTGTGAGAGAATGGTTGAGTGGATGAGTGGGTGGGTGGGAAAATCCGGAGTCGGGATGCTGCTCAGCCTCTAGCTCTTTCTGCCCTTTTCCAAGATGAGCCAGCAGTGTGGCTGGTGATCTCAGCTTTGCTCTGTGGAACCTGGCCAGGGAATTCCTTTTCCCTAAACTAGGACCTGTGACCGAGTTGGGCAAAGCCTTGTGTCATAATCTTTGTGAATGGAGGCGGCCAGGTGTTCACTGACCACAGTGCCTTGGGACTGCACAGAGTGGGTTTCCTTTCTCCAGGAAGATTGCATTCTGCTTGGGTTTGTGTCCTGGCTGCCTACGTGTGGCTGGACTTTTTGTCCTTCGCTGCAATGAATGTGCCTGTCTGTTCTCTCTTTTAATAGCTGTAAGTACGTTGACTGAATCAACTTTGAAGACTGTCCCTCAAGTGGTAAATGTGCAGGAACTGAAGAATAACCCTTCACCCGCCTCTGCAGCGATGGGGTATGTTCTGCCTTTGCCGTGTGTGTCTGCCGGCGAACTGTTCTGTAATAGTGAGGGGCTGCCTGCAGGGAGCAGCGTGGCTGCTGGCGCAGGGTGACTTCTTCTCCCTGCCCAGCCTTATGTTATGAGGGGGTAGGCAGCTAATCTCGGGTATGCGATGGGCGTGCAGGAGACCGACCTCTTCAACTTGCCCCTGACGGTTCCTCAAAAACCTTCAAAGTCTGTGTTGCCCAGTGTGCTGTTTGCCATGTACAGGTCTATGTGGGGTACACAGTAGGACCGTTAAGTCAGGTGCAGGGCTTGATTTTTTTTTTTTTTTTAATGCTTTCAAGGTTCCAGAGTTGATGCCTCAGTTCTAACACACACCATTGATTCTGAACACTTGGTAGAGGTCTTGAGATTGGCAGTCTTCCCTCATTTCCTCTCTCCAGGCATCACCTTTCTTTCAAGTTTCTTTTGCCTTTGTATGAAAAACAAAACAGAACAAACACAGTCTTTTAAAAGGCAGAAGCTCCAGCCTCTTCTCTGCGCCAAGTTTGAGGGCTGGGCTGTTGCTGCCGGAGCTGCTTCTCTCTGGAACGCGAGGCCTGTCCGCCGCCCACACAGTTCGGCAGCACGGTGTACAGACCCTGCCCGCGGCTCTTGGTGTTGCAGCTGTGCCCTTCTGTGTCCAGCCCAGCCTCGCATGTGACAGAGGGAAGGGTCGAGGGACATTTCCGTGGGTGGAACGTAGGGGGTGGTGGTGACCAGTGTCCTTCGGACAGCAGTGTCTGGTGCCTGTGGTCAGTCCAGTGGCAACAAGAGCACCCCAGACCCGTGCCGTTCCCGCATCGCACCCGCACCCGCTCTCACCCCGGGTCTGCCCGCTCGTCTGGCGTGGCTCTGCTGAGCGGCCCTGCTTTTGTGGTCCACCGGCCTCCTCTCCTCCCCACACTGGTCCGTTTATCAGGGCTGTCTGTTCCAGGAACTTCTTAGCTATCTCAGGGCTGTGCTAACAGGCAGAAACAAGCCTACCCGCATCCCTATCTTGTAGTGACCTTGAAGCTCTGCTGTGCTGTTTAGGCCAAGGTGGCTTTTGTGGTTGTCGTGAACTTCTAAGGGAAACATCTAATAGAGTTTGGGAACTGTAGCCAGATTCCTAGTGTAGGGAAGGCATAGAAGGGCAGAGCACTATGTGAGAGGAAAACCCAGCTAACGGTGCAGGAAGTGTGGCCTGGTGTCTCCGAGACACAGTGTCTCCTGGTGATGTCACCGAACCTTGTCTCGGGCTTCGTCTCCCTCCCGCGGCTCATCTCTGCGTCTCTGCCGCGTTAGAGCAGCAGCTCTGTGTCCCCCTTTTTTCTCACTTGAGGAAAACAGACACAGAAGTTCAGAAGGAATCTGGGAGAAACCGTCCCTTCCTTTCCCTACAGAATTGGGCTCTGGTACAGTTATTTAACTTGGGTGCCCAGTGCGGTGCATGGAGTTGGTTCCTTTTTAATGACCATTTACCAACTAACAATAAAGGCGAACTCCAAGCACGATCGGTTGGCGGACACTGGTGTTTGCTGCCTCCCTCAAAGGACAGCTTCAGAGGGAAATACGTTCAGTGTAAAATGACTCAGTTTCAGAGTCTGTTAAACAGCAGTTTCCTGGCTGTCTTTAAGTATTTTACTTTGCATTTAACTTTTTCTGAGTGGCATCTTCCAGAAGATTTGCTGTGAGATGAGCTCACGTATTTCTGCCGTCGATCTTTCTCATGTACTTCGGCTTCGCCCACGACACTCGCTGACCAAGCATCCTGCTGTGCGGGTGTGCCTGCAGTGACCCTCGGGCACTGGGTTCGGCCAGGGCTTCTGGGGCCTCTGCTGCGAACATGACGCTGCCCCACGGTCAAAGACACAGCAGTGAGTCAGTCACACCAGTCCCTGCTTTCCTGGCACGTATGTTTTAGCAAGAAGACAGACCCCAAACTACCAGCCAGCCCTACAGGTCACATGACCGCAGTATGGTGAGCTCAGCGAAGGGGGGAGCCAGGGGCTAAGACAGGACATGTGGCTCCGGCTGGAGTCTGGGGCTGAGGAGGAGGCTGGTGAGGAAGCGATGTTTTAGCTGGAAGTGAAACAGCAGCCACGAGATAGCCGGGCCAGGACGGTTCCGCCCAAGGGTGTGGGGTTGTAGAGCTGGGCCAAGCAACAGGGGGGCATGTGGGGAAAGTGGAGAGAACCCCAAGGTGGCCAGCAGCCTGGTGGGCAGTGGGGCCTATGAGGTGGGGTTTTCGGTTGGACTCTTCATTTTTACTAAAACACACCAGGCACATCATTCCTTTCAGGAATTTTGCTGTTCATTCGCTCTCGTTTTTACAAGTACTCAGCGTTTTCTGTGGGCCGCAGAGTCTGGTGCTGGGGACAGGGCCGCTGACAAAACACCACAGCCAGCCCTGCCCTCGTGCAGAGAGACAAGTGGCGATCGAGATGAGTCAGTAAGGTGCTTGGCGTGCAGTTACATTTTAGAGGGTGACGGGTGCGGCACAGAACATTGAAGCAGGAGAGGGGTCCAGGGACCGCAGTCGGGCGCAGGCTGCAGCCTCACCAGGGTGGTCGAGGAAGGTGCCTTGCACACCGTGGGACGGCTCGGGGGCCTCCGCAGCGCCAGGCCAGCCGCCTTCCAGTGTTCGCCTGGGGTTCTCGGTCCCTGTAACGTTCTGCCTCTCGGTGGCCTCTAGCGCTTGACGTGCATTTGGACGAAGACAAAGGCCAAAGAGCAGGCCTCATGGATATCCGGGAGGGAAAGCTCCACACACAGGGCCCCGTAGTGGGCCCGTGTCGGGCAGGTTCAAGGAAGAGCCCAGTGGCCCCTGGTGGCTGGAGAGAGAAGAGAGCCCCGGACACGAGGCCAGGGTGGGACGGGGGCCACATCCTGTCCCGTCTGGCGAGCCCAGGTCAGGGCCCGGCTGACCATTGGGTGTGTTTGAGCAGCAAACACCATCTCTCGATCTGATGTGGTTTTTATTCATTTTGTTTTTTAACTGTAGCCGTGTCTTAAAAGGGAGGTATAATTTACAAACGGTAAAATTCATCTTTTTTTAGTGTAAAGTTCGTGGGCGCTCTGATAGTGCCGATAGTTGTATGCGATCTGTGGTTTCGGCAGGAAGCCTCTGGTCCCGGGTGAGACTAGACCGGAAGGGCTGGCGCGGGGAACGTGGAAACGGAGAGCAGGTGGGGGCGCTTCCGTTTTCATTGTGGTGAAAGAGACGCACGGCAGAATGTACCATTTCGAGCACACAGTTCAGTGACGCTGAGTCCCTGCACAGGGCTGTGTAACCCTCACCAGTGTGTATTTCCAGAACTTTGTTATCACTGCGACCAGAGCTGTGTGACCCCTTAAATAAGAACTGCTCGCTCCCGCTTCCCTCCATCCCCTGGTAACTCCGCTCTACTTTCTGTCTGATAATTTGCCCGTTGGAAGTACCTCCCGTGAGTGGGACCTACAGCGTTGACCTTTGGTGTCTGGCTTACTTCACTTTTGTTTCCAAGCTTCATCCATATGGCACCAAATGTCAGAATTTCGTTCCCTGTGTGACCCAGTGGTACTCCATTGTATACGTGTCCCCCATCACCTGTTGACGGGCACCTGGGTGGTTCTCCTCTCGGCTGCTGGGAATAGTGAATGCTGCGGTGACATTGGTGTACGAGTGTCCGTTCGAGTCCCTGCTTTTAATTACTTTGCATAATGTTTCAGGAGTGGGATTCCTAGACTGCGTGGCACTTCTGTTCGGCTTTTTGAACTAAACATAACCGACCACGTTTTACAAAGGGGCTGCTCCTTTCTACATTCCCAGCAACAGTGGGCGAGAGTTCTCGTTTCTCCGCATCCTCACCAGCATTTGTTATTGTCCGTTTTTTTATTAGAGACGTCCTAGTTAATGTTCAGTGCCGTCGTCGTGGCTTTGATATGCATTTCCCTAATGGCTAACGACTTGGGCGTCTCTTTGTACGCTTGTTGGTCATTCGTATTGTTTTTGGAGAAATGTCCGCATAGATCCTTCGCCCATTTTTTTGTTTGTTTGTTTGTTTGTAGATTTTATTTATTTAGAGGGGAAGGGAAGGAGAGAGCGAGAGAAACTTCAGTGTGTGGTTGCCTCTCGTGAGTCCCCTGCTGGGAACTGGCCTTCAACCCAGGCATGTACTCTGACTGGGAATCGAACCAGGATCGTGTGGTTCACAGGCCCGCGCCTAACCCACTGAGCTACACCAGCCAGGGCCTTCACCCATTTTTTGATCAGGTTGTTTGTCTCAGGTGTGGAGTGTAAGGTTGTTTGTATGGTCTAGATTCAACCCCTGGTCCGACGACGGTTTGCACATATGTTCTCACATTCTTGGGTGGTTTTTTACTTTCTTGTTAGTGTCCTTGGAAACAAAAAGGTTTTTCATTTCGATGAAATTTAGTTTATTTTTTTCTTTTGTTGCTGGTGGTCTAGGTATAACAACGTTTAAGAATCCATTGTCTAAACCAAGGTCATAAAGATTTACACTTACGTCTTCTGAATGTTACAGCACGAGGCCTGTTTAGTGTCTGATCTGCTGTGAGTCGGTCTTTGTAAATTGTGATGTTGTGGTTGGCTTCATCCTCCTGCCTGCGGGTGTCCAGTGGTCGCAGCGCCATCTGCTGAGAAGACTGTTTTTTACCCCATCGAATTGTCTTGGTACATGGATTGGTTTTTGAACATCAAACCAACCTCTGGTGCTGAATCATGGCCCTTTTATGTATGGTTGCATTCCGTTTACTAAAATTTTGTTAAGAAGTTTTTTTGCCTGTTGTAGTAAAGGATGTTGGCCCGAAGATTTTCTTGTGACGTCCTTGTTCAGGTTTGGAATCGAAGTCACGCGTCCTGACAGTGAGCTGGGCTGCGCTCCCCCCTTCAGTTCCCCAGAGAGCTCGTTCGATTTGTTGTTACTCCATCCACGCGTATGGGGGGGCTCACCAGTGGGGCCATCTGGGTCGTTTTTGTGTTTGTTCAT